TTCGAACTTCCCCGCGTTTCAAAACAGCTGCTAGCCCACGTGACCTAAGCGCGCTCGGAATTGTTTTGGCTGTCGCGCGCTCAGATTGGCCGGCGGCTCCCTCCGCTCGCCCCGCCCCCTCCCACGTGCGCTCCACTTCCGCTGTCAAGCGGCTGGAACAGCACGTGGAGTGGTAACCGCGGGGTGAGCCTCCGATGCGCCGGTGAACCGACCCGCCTCTGCCCCCTTCTTTACTCCAGAGACCCGCGCCTAGGCCACCCGCGCCACGGCGTCAACGTGTGGTGGGACTCCGAGTGCGAGGTGGGTGGCGTGCGATTATTTTGGGTTTGTTTCTTCTGCGGGTCACTCCGCGGTTTGTATTCCCACGTTAGAATGGAGGCGCGTTTTGATTACTTGGCCGCGTGTATAATGGTGCACGTGATACGCAGATGAAGCCGTTGCGTTGAGATATCATTTGTGATGGATAGGTCGTTTCTAAAAAAAATAATAGCTCAGTGGACTTTGGGGCCGTCCATAAATGACGTCACGCACCTAGGGGGGGGGGTCAGACATTTGTGACGATGGGGGGGGTGTGAGAAATGTGACGTCACATCAAAATGCGCTACTTTAAATATAGACAACACGTTCTACTTAATCTAATAGACTTTTTAATAAATGTTTTCTCCTACAACATCAGAATGCAGCGCCACATTAAATACGCACTACAATGACAATAGTTTAAAACGATTTGAAGCGTGTTTTATTTTGGGGGGGGGGGGGCAGAGCTTTGTGACGTAATAATTGAGGGGGGGTCTGACTTTTTGTGACGCCGTGTGACGAGGGGGGGGGTCAAAAATCGCGTGACGTCATTTATGGACGGCCCCTAATAGCTCAGTGGACTTTACCTCGTAAGATTTTTGTTTAAGTTTTGTTTTATTTATGTTTTTTGGAAGTGATTTGTTTACCTTTTCTATGCTTTGCAATCTGTGTCGTGTTTTTGTTGTAACGTTCTGACCCACCCCGACTGGACATCTGTGAAAATACTTTATAGCTCATCGGATTCCTCCTCCAGTATACCGACTGTAATCACAACGCTCGTGACGTCACTCCACGGCGACCAGCCCCCCTCATTAATATTCATGAGCGGGTGACGTCACTCATATAGAGTGCTCCCTCCCCCCTCGCTAATAATCATGAGGTGACGTCACTCCTTTGAACAGCCCCCCTCAATAATGAGCAGGTGACGTCACTCCACAAGGACACCCTCCCCCCCATTCATAATAATAATTAGCAGGTGACGTCACTCCACATGGGGGGCCGAGGCGCCTCCTCCCCCCTCCTCAGCGTCAACTCTCAACCCTCACTACAAAGGGCAGAACCCTCACGTCACGTGATCTCCACAACGCTGTTGAGACGTAGAAGTAAAAAGGACGTCATGATGAACAAGGGATGATAACCTTCAAATGAAATAGGTCTGTGTCACCGCGCCCTTACAGAGTGCGCACGAATGCATGCAATGAACATATCACGTCGCGATCTGATTTTCGCCTGCACGTTTCAGATTGACTGCAATACACCCGTCCTTGGACGGGCAAAAGGCGAGTTTATAATCATACCATCGTGGTATCCGCTCACTCTTGTTAGAGAGACGACTCAAGGTGCGCGAGGAATCGCAGAGAAGCGTGAAGGCAGCCACGCCTACAGGTGCCCGAGCTCTGCGGTCCTCTATGGCCGTGATATCCGGTCACTTGATGAGTTGTTTACACTGGGAGGAAATCCGGAGCACCCGGAGGAAATCCACGCGTGCGAGCGATGGGGAAAACACTTCGCCATACCAAGGGTGGCACAGTCGGGTTTTTGCCAATCGGGTTTAATTGTCTTTTTATATTAAACCCGATCATCTGAGATTTGGAGAAATCCGGTTATGGTTCTAATTGCAAACCAACACTCGCCAACTTCTCAACGATGGGCTTCCATCCATTCCAAGCTAAGGAACTCACGGCGCCCGACGGTTGTGGAGGAGAAGCTCGTGTTCATCACGACCAACCTGCCCGCCGCATTCTACGACTACCCCGTGCCCGACGGCCCCGAGGACGATAGCATCAGCGACGAGGAAGCAGCCTAAGCCTTGCTCAGAGTTTCGTATTCATTACACCAGGGTTAATTCCCCGAAATCGGGTTAATTGTATTAAGAAAAAAACCTGATGCCTGCCGCTGGAAAAATCGGGTTTTTTCCACCCATGCGCCATACAGGACGGAAGAGGTGGAGAGTTTCCACATCCCTGCAAGACGACTATTCGAGCAGAGACCACCTGGTGGACGCGCACGGGAAGGGAGTTTAAACAACATCTGTGCAGTGATCCATCAACCCTCGTTACTGCCGCTGCTGGATTACTGCAGCACACGTGCATAGGGGCCGTTCATAAATAACGTCACGCACCTAGGGGGGGGGGGGGGGTCAGACATTTGTGACGATGTGTGACGAGGGGGGGGGTTGAGAAATGTGACGTCACATCAAAATGCACAACTTTAAATAAATATAGACAACACGTTCTCCTTAATGAAATAGACTTTTTAATAAATGTTTTCTCCGACAATATTACAACATCAGAGTGCAGCACCACATTAAATACGCACTACAATGACAATAGTTTAAAGCGATTTGAAGCATGTCGCCATACCAAGGGTGGCACAGTCGGGTTTTTGCCAATCGGGTTTAATTGTCTTTTATATTAAACCCGATCATCTGAGATTTGGAGAAATCCGGTTTAATTGGTTCTAATTGCAGAACCACACTTCGCCAACTTCTCAACGATGGGCTTCATCCATTCCAAGCTAAGGAACTCACTGGCGCCCACGGTTGTGGAGGAGAAGCTCGTGTTCATCACGACCAACCTGCCCGCCGCATTCTACGACTACCCCGTGCCCGACGGCCCCGAGTACGATAGCATCAGCGACGAGGAAGCAGCCTAAGCCTTGCATCAGAGTTTCGTATTCATTACACCAGGTTTTAATTCCCCGAAATCGGGTTTAATTGTATTAAAGAAAAAAACCTGATGCCTGCCGCTGGAAAAATCGGGTTTTTTCCACCCATGCGCCATACAGACGGAAGAGGTGGAGAGTTCCACATCCCTGCAAGACTGCTTTCGAGCAGAGCCACCTGGTGGACGCGCACGGGAAGGGAGTTTAACAACATCTGTGCAGTGATCCATCAACCCTCGTTACTGCCGCTGCTGGATTACAGGCAGCCACGTGCATAGGGGCCGTTCATAAATAACGTCACGCACCTAGGGGGGGGGGGGGGGTTCAGACATTTGTGACGATGTGTGACGAGGGGGGGGGTTGAGAAATGTGACGTCACATCAAAATGCGCAACTTTAAATAAATATAGACAACACGTTCTCCTTAATGAAATAGACTTTTTAATAAATGTTTTCTCCGACAATATTACAACATCAGAGTGCAGCACCACATTAAATACGCACTACAATGACAATAGTTTAAAGCGATTTGAAGCATGTTTTATTTTGACATGGCGTCATTTATGGACGGCCCCATAGTCGTGAGTGTGATTCTGCGTATAATTATCGTGCAGCGTTGTGAGATGCAATGAGCGTGGATGACGCAAATATGAAAGCTGAAATTATAATTGCTACCACGGTTCGTAATAAAGATGTTTTTTTTGGGTTAGATCGCGTACAATATAAATGTGTCGTGAACCCGCCACCACCCGACACAGCAAATCAGTAGGGTTTGTCACGTAAACCAAACGTGCCACTACTTCAGCACGCCGGTTTGTGTTGGAGAGTAAACCGACAACATTTGACAATTGGCATGAATTCAGGAACGACCACGACGGTCCTGGATGAGAGGCGGTGCACGGCCACCGCCACCCGGCTGACACGAATTGGTGAGGCGGCCCCACTTGATGGGAAGCCGAGCACTGGGTTGGTTCCCTCGAGACCGGCTCTTGCCAGCATTGCTTGACGTGTAGAGCCCTCTTGTGAATACACTGCTGGTTGACTGCCTCCCCAAGCGGAGCCTTTTGGGGCGATTTTATGAAAGCTCAGCGGGGGTAGACATGGACGCTGGGAGCGCAGATGTACAGTACAACAACGCATTTTGCTGCACTCCCCTCTGCTGCCGACCACGTAGCCCCGCAGCACCCCATAGCAACCTGTTGTGCATGGCAGTGGCCCGTTGCATGTGCTCTCCGCACACAACCCCTGGTTGTATTTACGAGATTTGGCGAGATGGGCCCACTCGTTTCGGGCGATTTGGCCAAAGGTGGCTTCTGGTAAAGCAACGAGGGCTTCCTCATGGTCTGATGCTCTAATACGAGTGGGGTTTTGTGACTCTTACAATTTGGATGTTTCTGGCATCGCAGTGCCACTGGATCACAAGGCACTGGACAGGCTCGCGTGGTGGCGAGATGAAACTTGCCAAAGCGAAAAGCAGACCGCGATGTGGTATTAATTGCATGAATTCGTGTGCAATCTGTAAGGGCGCGGTGAGACAGACCTATTTAATTTGAAGGTTATAATCCCTTGTTCATCATGACGTCCTCTTAGTTCTGTCTCAAAAGCCTTACGGAGACCGCGTGACGTGAGGGTTCTGCCTTTTTCGTAGTGAGGGTTGTAAGTTGACGATGAGGAGGGGGGAGGAGGTGCCTCGGCCCCCCCATGTGGAGTGACGTCAGCCGCTAATTATTATGAATTGGGGGAGAGGATGTCCATTTGGTCACCTGCTCATGGGATGCTGGTCGATGTGGAGTGACGTCACGGGCATTAAGGAGATTCCTGGGTGATTATAGTAGGTATAGCCAGGTCACTTCTGAAAAAAAAAACAGCTAAATAGTTCAGTGGGCCTGACCTGGTTAACATAATAAATTGTTGAGGTTTAAAGTTTAATAGACCAATCTTTGATGCTGACAAATTGAAGAACCACCGTTCAGTGTCACATTTGCCATCTATCTTAAATCTGCTTAAAAAAGTTTAACCACGTAGACTTTCATGATCAATATGTCGCCATAATATAGAGTTTTTTTGGGGTTAGATTACGTAAATATATAAATGTCGTTAAACCCGCCACCCTACACAGCCAATTAATCTGGCTGTCGCCTGCTGCAGCTAATTCTAATTACTGGCGAAATGTCATACTCAGATTGTAAATGTTGTAAATTGGCATGTTCTATTTACGTGACAAACCTTAATAATTGGCTGTGTCCACGAGGTGGCGGGTTTAATTACACATTTAAATTTACGCGATCTCACCCAAAAATAACCTGCTTGACAAAACATTTGCAATTGCAGCTGCAGGCACTTTTTGATGACACATTCAATGCCGACTTTTCAAGTCGGCCTATCGGAAGTGCCCGCAGCGCCGAGACGGCCTTTCTGAATGTCTCCAATGGCCTCCCGATGGTTACCGACAACGGCAAATTGTCCGCGTTGCGTCTCCTCGATCTTGCTGTGGCGTTTGATAACTGTCGACTCTGTTGTGATGCTGCAGGGTCCTGAGCGAAGATTCTGGATTGGTGGAGCTTTGCCACTCTGGTTTCATTCATACTCAACGGGCAGAACTTAGAGAGTGTGTCACAACGGCCGGTTGTTATCAACTGTTCGTGTCACTTGTTCAGTGTTACGTCCTGTACTTTTTATCGTCTATGCCGCTGAGTTCTCGAAACTGGTGGACAAACATTGGGTTAACCTTCGCACATTTGCAGATGACACTTTTGGCTGTAAGTACATTGTGAGCCAGATCGCATAACGGCCTCAGCCATTGTTCTTGAACAATGTGTTCTCTATGTTAGATGCTGGATGGCATCCAATCGATTGAAGCTGAATACAGATAAAAAAACAGATGTGATCTGGTTCGGCACGACCTATAGCTTTGATAAGCTGATCAGCCACGGTCCATCCGCTCAATGTGGGTACGACTACCATACCATCAGCTGCCTATGTCCGTAGTCTTGGAGTTCTACTGGCACCTGACCTTCAATCCGCACAACACGTTGCTATGATCTGTAAGGGCTGCTTTTTCCAGCTCTGTAAGCTGCATTGTGTCCGTCAATCCCTGGATGCCAAGGCAGCTGTGCAACTCTCATGCACACTCTCATTACTTCCCGAGTTGACTTATGCAATGGTTTTCTGGCCGGCGCAACAATGAAAGTGATTAATCAGCTCCAGCGTGCCTTGAATGCAGCAGCCAGATTACTCGCTGGCACAAGACGAGATACGATCATGGACTACAGAAGCCCATGCTTTTGAAGACTTTCATTTGCTTTCGGTTCCACAGCGCGTAAAGTATAAGCACTGTCTGTATACAAGTGCCTTATAAGGTATGGCACCCCGTTATTTGTCGGGATTTATGCACGCCTGTCGCCAACGATCAGAAACGACAACACCTTAGACCCGCTGCTCATTGTGATGTCGATGTATCTACTGCATATTGAACTTCTTTCGCACCGTACTTAGCCAACAGTGCTAACCGGAGGTGCGGGGATTTCATCGTTGTTATAGGAACCCTGCCTACGCTTTTCAGAAGGCGGCAGGGCCCCCTGTCGCGTGGAATTCTCGACCCCGACAAACTCAAGAACGAAAACACTGAGTTCAACCGCTTCCGGAGAGACCTTAAAATAAAATTAATGAACACAGCGTGACGTGACGGCAGTGCGCATTAGAGGTGCTATTTGCATGATTTTGCATTTCTTAAATTACTATTTACAATTACATTACGTGCATCAAGATTACTAATAAAAAATAACACGTAGAAGAAATGATGTAGTTCGTGTAGCTTTACCATATTTGGGAAATTGTTCCCCTGTTGTTTCCTGAATGTTTGGCTGACAGCACACGTTTCCATTCTGTAGTCAATTTAATAAAAACAGCATCGGCTGAAAATATTATTAAGAAAATGTTGCAGCAAGCTAATAAGAATCCATACTCTTTGGTTCTTTCGGTAAAGTCACGTAGGTAAAATTAACCCGTAAAAACAAAGTTTTTCACTATAAATCCTTTATATGCGTGGCGGCTAGAGTCCTCTCGTCCTCTGGCTTGAGATGGCTGCCACCTATGGGTCAGATGATTGCCTGCCACCATTAAGCAATTGGTAATTAAATATAATTATTTTTTTCTTAAAAAGTGTAAAGTTATGGAATTTTTTTTCACGAAAATAAATTGTCACGCACAACGAGTCTGTGTGCAAAATGTCAGCTCGATTTGATCACGGGAAGTGGGTTAAAAAACGACCGAAAGATTTGCACGGTCGTAAGCGCGCAAGCAAGTGAACTTAATATAAAGGATTTAATAAAAATGAAAGACCACGACGTTTCGATCGCAACACAAGCAACCGTCATCAGGTGAGACAACGACAGCAAGAAAGCTGCTGTCGTAGGAGGACTGCTTTTCAATTGTGTTTAGTGATTAGCTTGCTGCAAGCGTGGTCAGCTTTAACCCCACGAGTGCTTGTTTGCAGTGCCGACCTGCCACTCGCTCACAATGTCTCTGCCTGTTTTAATTTACTAATTGTGGGGGTTTTGTTGTTGTTGTTGTTGTCGTCGTCAGGGCAGTGACTTTGCACCTTGGAAGTAGCCAACCCCAAGCTGGGATTATCCACTCCACTCCTCGTCTGAGGGCCGTGCCACTTGAAGGTTCTCTCCGCCGGTGGGCTCGGCGGACCGCGCGGGAGGGAGCGACGCCAGCGCCACGCACGACGAGAGGTAGAGCTCGCTATCCGTGATCCTCCCTGCCGCTGTGAAGAAGAGCCGTTGCTCGAAACGTCGCCCGTTGTATACAGTAATGCCCTGGTTTACGCCGGGGGTGCGTTCCTGAAAGGTGTGACGACGAATATCGAAACGACGTCAATCACAGCGGTGTACAGGGTTGATAGAGGCGAAGGATGTTAACGACCTCGTCTGCTATACCGGAGGTCGTGGGTTCGATGCCGACTCTCACGTCTGTATATTTTGCATTTGCATGTTATCCCCGTGGTCGTGGGGATTTTTCTCCGGGTCCTCCGGTTTTTCCTTCCGCATTTAGAATCATACGATTTTGGCTGCTTTCAATTTCCACTTTGTAACCTACTTCGTTGAGCTATCATTTGTGGCCTGGTCGTTTCTGAATAAGAAAAATATAGCTCATTGTGTCTTAGCTGGTGAAAAAAAATTGTTTTATAGTTTGTAAAACTATTATCGAGGCAACGGATACGAATGGATGATGATGTCAGCGACGTAGTGTGGGTTGAGGCGACATAAATTAGGTAGTTGTATTAATCAAGTGGCTACAGTATTTGCGAAACTACGTAAAAGGGGGAGACGTAAATCAAAGTATTCCTATATTTGTTTCCCGTTTAGGGCAGCGTTATTGACAAATGTGCTGTGTTTTTGATCTTTGATTCGAGATTAATTGGCAAGTGTACCGTGCTGACAACTCCCTCGGGGATCCGTACGGCGATATCGACATTCATCACGGGCGCACGAGAGAGGAGATAAGGGACTGAAGGAAAATGTGCGCTTTTAGAAGTGCTCACTATCTTAGTCTTAAGCCTCACCTTACATATGACATACATATGAATAAAAAGTGTGCTGTACTTGGCCCTTCTCCCCCCCCCCCCTCTCCAACCATTATATAACGGAGTGGTAGCTCCTGCAATCTCTCATTTACTTGATACAGCTGTCGTGGCTGTGACGGTTCCACCTGAAGACGGAAGCTTGTGTTGCCTCCGAAACGTCGTGATTTTTATTTTATTTTACTTTTATTAATTTTAAATGTGTTACCTACGTGACTTTACCGAACAAAATCTAAGAATATGAATCCTTGCAGTCACGAAAGCTTCAAATCTAGAATTAAGCTCACTATCTTGTTGGTTCAAGCTCTTCGTCAATCGTGATAATTATACGGTGGCATTAAGGTCCTGTGTGAATTTTCAATGAGTTTTTTTAGCTGTACAACTGGAAGACCTGGTCACTGTGGAAACACACGAGCATTAAAATTCCTTTTGTATGTTAATCTGGCGGTGTCAAAGCCTAATCCGTCGGGCCTACATGCGTATGCTACAGTACAGTGTTTGTGTGCTCACGATGCGCTCACCTATACAGAAGTGAATTCTGGGTGTGTTGTTGACAGTGCTAAAGTCAATTTTGAATACAATGCTGATTGGCGTGGTTGACTATAACATGACATTTGTATCTTGGCACTGTTAATTTGTGACATCTGAGCGCGACAATCCACTGCCTCTTAACGCACCACTGTCCTGTTTCGTTTTGTTGTTCGATTGGCCTTTGTCAGTCCTCGGTGCGTTTAAGGACATGTTTGTGTGTATGTTGAACGTCTGTCGCACTGAACGTCGCCAACCGTGCTACTCGGAGATGAACGCAGAGTTAGCCACACGATTGTTTGTATAATCAGAATTGGAATATTTATTTATACTACAGAAGGAATCCGATGAGCTATAAAGCTCTTTGTCACAAATGTCCAGTAGGAGCGGGTCACAACGCTACAGCAACAGACGATACGAAAACACGATAGGAGTGCAAAGTATAGGAAAGGTATAAACGAATCACTTAAAAATATACAAATACAACTACATTCTTCTTGGTTATTTCGGTAAAGTTACGTAGAAGGGAAATAATAAAATAATAAAAATAAAACATAATAAAATACAATTCTCACGACGTTTCAGCTACAACGCAAGCAGCCGTCCTCAGGTGAAGAACAGGTCTGTCGGAAAGACAGACCTGTTCTTCACCTGAGGACAGCTGCCGAAACGTCGTGAGAATTGTATTTTATTATGTTTTTTTTTATTTCCCTTCTTCGTGACTTTACCGAAAGAACCAAGAAGATGAATCCCTGCTGTCACGAAAGCTTTAAATCGAAATACAACTACATTATTTGTTTCTCTTACCAGGCAAATCCCACTTAGGTATTCATTTATTTTATCGAAGCGACCTACGTCTCTGATGCCAGGTCGCATCAGAGACACATGAAATCCCTCCTGAGTCATTCCACAATGCGGCACGTGGCTTGCCTCGGTCGGGAGCTGGGAAGTTGCCACGTGATGGACACCGATTAGAGGTGTAACAGTTCGTTCGCCTTGCCCCCGAATGATTCGTCTCCCATTCACTTCAAGAATCGATTCTTTCTGTGACATTCTGTGAAGCGCAACGGCCTCTAGTGGCCGCAGGGGGTCACGGGAAGCTACTACAAGCAACTGGCAGTGTACGAGTCACGAAACATTGTTTCTCATGCGTGGTGCGATATCTTGAGCTTAATGATTACATATTTGTGGATGATTTTAGTAACGTATTTAATGCATTGTTATTACTCCCCTCTAATGTTTGTTGGTCGTATTGTGAAATGCCACCGTTTACCCCATGGGTGGGCGGGGCTATCAGTAAAAACTTCCACATGCTGTCCTCTCTTGTAATCAGACGCTGAACCTTATCCAGTGCTCCAAAGGTCACATCGTACGTGAAACAGTGGCGGTGGTGGTGCTTTCTTTAAAGGTGAGAATCTGACGCGACGCTGCTGTATCCTTAACCTTGAGGATGCAATATACCCAACGAGACACGTGAAACAGCATTGCCTGTTTTGTAAATGCGACCTGGGTTACATCAATGTGTTATATAATGTGCTGCTAGGCAAGAGACAGGGAAGTGTGGATATAGTTACGTGACTAGCGCACGAACGTGCGTGCATAAAGTGCAGTCTGCAATTGTAGCTTTCAAATTTCTGCGTTCAGTTTGCTTCCAAACTGTGACGGCGGTAAAATGCAGTCGCCCGTAAAGATTCGGAGTCAGTCCGATTTGGTTATGTGAAGCCCAGCTGAAATTGGGATTACATTCGGCTCTGATGAATTTGTCTCAACCTTAATTATTTTTTATTTGTATGGCACACACGTAGAAAACTTTACGGGATCCTGCCTTAATTTTACAACCTGCAGCTTAAAACGTCCAATTGTATTAAATACCCTTTTCGCTACCAAGATTACCCAAAGCCTCATCTATGAGCGACCAAAGCTCCAATTTGGTAGCTCATGGGCCCACTAGGTGTTGCCACCCGTCCAAGATGTGGTGGCGGTTTTCAACATTTTCATCCTGATGCCAATTTGTGGGGTCGTTGAATCGAACTGTTGGAGTGGGGTAGACTGTTGCAGAGCTGCGTACAGAAACCCAGCTGCATAGATGAGCAAGCGTGAGCAATCCTGACGGTGATATCACGACGACTGTCCATGCATGAAGCAGGCAAATGAGAATGCAATTCTGCCATTCGGGGAGTCAAAGTGTCGCTTCTCAAATGAGCATTGGGAGTGGTGCTGATCTATAATGGTGCTCATATTTATTTTGTGGAGTGAATTATGGGCTGGTAGAAACGAGGGAGATCTTGAACATGGACTTGTATGTATGTATGTCGAACTTCTTTCGCACCATACGTATAGCCAACCGTGCTTATCGGAGGTGCGAAATTGGAGCATGGAGTTGACAGCATGGGCGGCTGTCAGGAAGCCAGTTGCGCAGGGCAAGGCTTTACTGCATTACGTTTTGAGATAAGGTATGGTGCAAGTTGCCTTTATTTTCCTGAGGAAACCCTATGAGGCAACACGCCTCTTACGCAGGAGAGATAGGAATGAGCAACTTCCACAGAGCAAAGGTTGACCCGTGGCCGGCGAGTCGATTTTCTGCTCCCATAACGCTTTACAGTAAAAGCGTTCTTAGTCTCAAGACTTTTTTTTCAGCTGGTGAGGCCCAAAAACCACTCATGAACCATTGCACAGAGGATGCAGGAGAGCCTTGCTCTGTAGGACTTGCATGTATTTATGGTGAACTTCTTTCGCACCGTACGTAGCCAACCGTGCTAATCGAAGGTGTGGGTGTAAGGACAACAAACTAAACACAAAAAGCAGTTCTAAAGAAATTAGTTTTCAATCTCGAGTGGCTTCCTAATATCGTAAGGAAGAGCGTTCCAGACGTACCGCAGAAGCGCATCTGAAAGCGTGCGATGCGGTGACCGTCTTTGTTCGATGGTTAGCCATAAGCCGCTGCTGTGAGGATGACCGGAGTTTGCGTGATGGTTTATGCTCCTTGACCAGATCAGTGAGGCATTGTGGTTCATTTGTGGCAAGCACTTTGTGTGGTATGAGCACGACCTTGAAATCTTTTCGTTCAGTAACCGGAAGCCAACGCAGCTCAGCGAGTACCGCTGAGCTGCATTGTGGGGAGAGGAAGCAGGGCAATTAGAGGAGGCATTTTCATTTGGGAGGGAAGGGGGAAAGGTGGGGGAGGAAGGATTGAGAGAGTGCTGTGAGGAAGGCCAGGTGGAAGTTGATGGCCTGTGACTGCCAAGGCAGAGCTGTGGCTCTGTAAATGACTCTTACGATCTGTGTTGTTTCTGAAGGTTTAAACACTCAGTGTTTGTAAGTCACAGATCTCAATCCTCGGTGTCCACTCCTAAGGTGCGTTGATGTAATAACTCACTCACAGAAGGCCGTGGTGACCGATGGGATGTATAATTGAAAGTTTCTCAGTGGAGAGACTGGCACCTCTCATGAGAATGTCGCATTCCCACCATTAGTTGAGAGCCACCAGTCGAGTTGAGTATATGCCTGTGTTTTGTGTGTTTTGTGTGAGCAGAGAGAGACTCTGCGAATTGTGTTCATTCGTGGCCGGCCTGCAGTGCCCGACAATGCAGGATGGGCGTTAACACTTTACGACTAAGATTAATAACATTCATGCATTAGCTCTGTCCGTCTTTGATATGGGGTCGGTAATATAAGTGGAATTTTAAAACAAAGTTTTGTTGCATTTAGGGACTTGCTCTATAGAAATTGAGCCAAATTTATCAAAGGGTTGCTGAAGACTTGACGATAAAAAAACACCTAACTAAATCTCCATTCAAAACTCATTTCTTCAAAACTGCTTTTTGTGTTTAGTTTGTTGTCATTTCCCCGTACCTACAATTAGCGTGGTTAGCTATGTATGGTGTGAAAGAATTTCAACATACATTCGTACATAAACGGAGAGGCCTCTTCGGCCAAGGCAGTGATGGCACACGCCACGCGCGCCGCGCCTCCCCGTGACGTCATCCCGTCTCGCGACTTCAAGACAAGCGGCGTGTTGGGAAAGCATTCCAGGTTTATATCCAGCGCATGCACGATGTTTTTCCTTCCATGTGGTTTTTATTTTTTTTCCAGAAGGGCCGATGGAGGAGGGACTCGGAGGCGAGCCGGAATCGGACTCCAACGCCTCGCGAGACCTCGCCTCAAACGGCGAGGACCGAGGAGCGACGTCGGGCACCCGCGACCCAGCCCGGCTGGAGGAGGAGGAGGAGGAGGAGTCGAACCCCCTGGATGTCGTCGGTTCGCCGAGTGGCGGTGTGGAGCCCGATGGCCAGGGCAGCGGCTTCACCAGGAAGGAGTACTTGACGATGTTGTCCGTGGCCAGCATCAACTTTAGCTCCATGATCTGCTACGCGGTGCTGGCTCCGTTCTTCCCCAAGGAGGCACGTAACCGTCCAAGTTGCTCTGTTTGTACAAATAGTTGAAATGTTAATTTTTTATTTCGTACGGAAGTGATCGCTGACCTGACTACGGTGTTCAAGAACACGACGTCACCGGTGCGGTGAGTGAGCTGGCGCGTTGTTGTCTGACTCCGGCTCTCGCGGATTTACCGGCGCCTCGTGCTTGTCCCGCTTTTCCCGCAGGCCGCCAAGAAGGGAGCCAGCGACTCGATCGTGGGCCTCATATTCGGCTCGTTCGCGCTCATGAACCTCCTGTCGTCGCCACTGTTTGGCAAATACGTACGTTGCCTTGCAAAAAACGCATCTGTCCCTTGTTTTGTTTGGAGTAGGGAGTAATAATTTTATTTTTAAATCGAGGAAAGCCTCGCAGAGTCTCGGGACTAATTGTGGGAGTGGGTGGCTGACTCCATCCATCGGTGATTGTCACGTGCGAGGAAACCGGAGAAGCTGGAGAAAACCCCGTACAAACAAATAATGTTTGGCACACGTGTCTCAAGCGCTAGAAACAACGAACATTGTAGAATTCAACAGAGAAGCTCGACAAGTTTCGCATCATTGGATTACTAAAACTTGTAAACTTGAAACAAATATTCTTGGTTCTTTCAGTAAAGTCACGAAGAAGGGAAGTAATAAAATAATAAAAATAAAACAGTAACATTCTCACGACGTTTCGATTGCAACACAAGCAATCATCATCAGGTGTGAAAACCACAGCAAGAAAATTTGAAAAAAAATAATTATTGCTGTGGTTTTCACACCTGATGATGATGATTGCTTGTGTTGCAATGGAAACGTCGTGAGAATTTGATTGTTTTATTTTTTTTATTTTATTATTTCTCTTCTACGTGACTTTACCGAAAGAATCAAGAATATGAATCCCTGCAGTCACGAAAGCTTTAAATCAAAATAAATAAAATTTTAATTTTTTAAGATTCTTGTGACAGCTGTGATGAATTGTGGTTCAAAATGACAACATTTGTATTTAATATTTTATACTAGATGTATGTTTGTCGCTGGGCAGAAGTTTGACGGGTCTAGCTTGTTGTGCGCTGTAACTGGTATCGACCAAATGTCCCAGTATTAAAAAATTCGACTGAAAACAAATAACTCAATTGTGGGATTGCACTTAGCAACACCGTCCCTTCCTGCAAAACCTTTGCAGGACCCTCCTGAAAAAGAGCCTTTAGGCTCCGTGAGGCTTTGCTGGGTAAATAAGCATAAAAATATTAACAATAAAAAATATTCCATTATGGTCCCCAAATTTAAGTTTGGCTCCTTGACTGTTTTGACTTTGTAGAATGGAGGTGTTGGTGTCTCGTCAATCGGAACATTGTCTTTGTTGAGGAGCAGGCAGAAACGGGGGTGGGGGGGGATGGAATTGTGCTGACGGGTGAATGTATTATTGACGGAGGAGGAGGGTGAATTTGTTATTGACGGAGGAGGAGGGTGAATTTGTTGTAGATGAAGGAAGCGGAGGAACGGTGAATGTGTTGTAGGCAGCGGAGGCGGAGGAGGAGGGTGAATGTTTTTTCCACTTGTGGACAGATCGTCCACATCGGATCCAAGTTCATGTTTCTGTCGGGGATGCTCGTGTCGGGGACCTGCACGATCCTGTTTGGGTGAGCCGGATCGTCGCCCGAGGCTGGCTCAGCCCATCATCCCTCAACAGATCATTCGTTACATACTGCTCAATTATTATAGATGTACATGGAACTAAGAGAGGCCGTAATATAACAACGACAAAAATGATGGCTCCTTTTTATGCAGGAAAGACTCCGTTAGTCTCGAGAACTTTTCCCCCAGCGGCGGTTGAGTAATTCTGTTGTGGAGACTCATGCTGGGTGCCCCGGCGGTTGTGAATGCAGACTCCTGGACGAAGGCCCCAGCGGGAGTGTCTACATCGCCATGTGCTTCGTCGTGCGCTGCATGGACGCGCTGGGCTGTGCCGCCTCCACCACAGCGTCCTTCACCATCCTGGCCGGCACCTTCCCTAACAACATCGCCACCGTCATGGTGATCGCGCGCGCGCGTGTCTGTGTGGATCACCTGTGAGTGTGCGCGTCACCTGTATGTATGTATGTTTAACTTCTTTTGCACCGTACGTCGCCAACCGTGCTAATCGGAGGTGCGGGGGAAGGACAACAAACTAAATATTTAAAGCGGTTTTAAGGAAGTTAGTTTTTAATTTGTGTCACCTGTGAGTGAGCGTCACCTGTGTGTGTGTTATACAGGCTGGGCTATTCTCTGTCTGGGTGAGTGAGTAGTGTGAGGTCTTCTGTAGTGGAGACCAAGTCTCGTTTAATACTCAAATTACCTGGTCTCTCATGGGGTCTCTGGACAATGGACTTACACCGGTTTCTCACGTAGAAGCTGAGCCATGCTGCCGACATGACATCCCCGCGCAGTGAGCGAGTCGACAAACTTACAGCAGACACGGTGACGCTGTGTTCTCGCAGTGAACCTACCGATGTTACTTGACATGGTGATGCCCCAGTAACCCTACCCGTGGCTCTGCTTGGCCCCGAGCCAGTTGTCTTGAGTCCAGCGTATCACCGTTTGGTTCTGACTCAGCACGGCAAGTAGCCAGCGGTTGTCACCTGCACCACGAAGGCGCTGCGCTGACTTTGCGCGGATAATCGACTGGCTGGCTTTTCACGCAGTCTATGCACGCAGCTCAACTGAAGGAAGACTGGCGGTACATCCAGCCCCGCTACTCGGTAGTTCCTCCACTGCTAGACTGACAGAACCCCAGTACACCCAGCCCTGCCGTTTGCTAGTTCCCCGCAGGTTCAGGGTGCCGCCGGTGTGCGGCGAGATGTTAACTAGCTCGCCTCGTATACAGGAGGCCGGGGGTTCGATCAGGACCCTGACGCCTCTATATGTGGAGTTTGCATGTTCCCCCTGTGGCCGTGTGGAAATATTTTTTTCTGGGTCCTCCGGTTTTTTCCCTCAACATTTAGAATCGGCATCACGCGTTCAGAGTCTTTGGAATGCTATACATTTCCACGTGATAAGCCACTTCGTTGAGCTATCATTTGCAGCCAGGTTGCTTCCGATAAAGAGCTACATAGCTTAGTGGGTCTTACCTGGCGAAATAAAACATAGTTTTGTTTGGTGCGCGGCTGACTGGCAGGGCTTCCTGGAGATCTTCACGGGCCTGGGCCTGGTTCTCGGTCCCCCCGTGGGCGGCTTCCTGTACGAGCTGTGGGGCTTCAAGTTGCCGTTCCTCGTCATCGGCACCTTTGTGCTGCTCATGATCCCCATCAACCTCGCCATCCTGCCGCCGCAAGGTCAGTGTTCGACCCTCGGCATAATAGACTCCCCAGGGGCGCGTGAGCAAGAACGCTAACGGTGCGTGCAGGCCACGTGCTGGATTTATGCAATGAGGAAGTGAACTCTGAAATCCGAGTTTATTGCCTGATTGAGCTCAAAGCAGTTTACACGAAGCGGTCGGATGTTGATGTTGAATTCGGTCATGAAATCTTAAGCCACTTGTGAGCAGCTTCATCACTCATAATTTGATCCGCTACACTGGCAACATATAATTAATATCTTTGTAAACATGACAATCTTGTCGGGTGGTGGAGGGGGAACCAAAAACAAAACATGGATCTTTGTATTGGCCATGGAAACCTACAAGTGAAGTATATTGTCAAAAATGCTGCAGTGATATCCAGCGTCATCTTTGTGAAATGGGCACAAATTATATGTAGCACCTGGCACACGAAGACAAATAGAATCATTATTATAATTCATGCAAATTATGTTAAATTTTGACATAGACCATGCCCACTCTGTCACGAAGCAGAGAAGGCGGCTTCTCACCTGCATCAGCTCCTCCCACCACTCAGCTAGCCCTACCCTCTGCCCGTATCATGAGCCGAGCATGAGGCCAGAAAAAATGTTTAATCGGTATAAAACCACAGGAGCTTCGGGACAGCCTTTCTGTAACCACCGGGTCTCTCCTGGCCAAACTCGACGGACGACGTTGCAAAAAAACGATTTGTGGCGCCTCCTCCCAGATTCGGTGCCGAGCAATGGCTCGTTTGTGCGGCTCGTGATGCTGCCGCCCATCGTCGTCGTCTCGCTGCTCATCTGCTCCTTGGGCAGCTCGCTCGGATTCTTCGACCCCACCTTCTCCCTCTTCCTCTCCGAGCAGGTGACTTTGCGTCCCACGTCACATTTCCCGTCGACCTCCTGATCTCTCATCGCCTCCTCCGGCGCCTCTTGCGCACTAACAGTCCCTCACCGTTCGGCGTCTTGTGGAACTCTGTCGTACCGATCGGCAGAGTGGCCGCCGGGCGTAGCGGCAGTGTTGGTATCGCGTGGTTTTTGCCTCGCGTTTGGATGTTTGCAGTTTGACCTGAAGCCCGGGAAGATCGGCCTGGTGTTCGCGGGGCTCTGCATCACCTACGCGCTGAGTTCCCCTTTCATTGGATACATCAGTGACAAAAAACCGGTGAGTGTTCAACCGGGCTCAACGAGTGTGGCGAGTTGACCGTCTGAGCCCAGCCACCAGCGGTTCCACATTTTAACAGATGCGATTTGAATATACCGGTCGGAAATGCTAATGAAAAAAAATCCAAATTGATTTGCATAATAATTTTGATTCCCCTGATTGTTAGGTCACATGCGTGTTAATTTAATAAACGTGTTGCAACTGCTTCTCCACGTCGGGGTGTCTGGTTTGAGAGGAGTTCTTGAAAAACTTGGTAACGAACACGTATTATATATTCTTCAAAGATAAACCGTCACAATACACTTTGCTATGTATCGTATCATCTCCCCACAGATGGCCACACGATGAACTGATTCCACCCACTTAAGTCCTCCTATTCCCAACAACAACAATAACTGACTTGGTGGACATTGAGATGTTGTGGCTTACCAGGTTCTTCCAGGTCGCCCCTCGTCTCCGGCTGCTCCTGCCCCTGTGAAGGTGTCTCCCTGTCTCCTCCGTGTCATTGATTTTGTTTGCAGCATCTGAGGCGCCGCATCATGGCGATCGGGGCCTTCGTGTCTGGCATCTGTTTCTGCATGCTGGGCCCTGTGCCGTTCCTGCACATCCCCACGTGAGTTCCGTCGCGTGCCTGCAGAAGAGCGTCGTCGTCTTTGTTGTTTTGAAATTTATTTTTGTCTCCCAAGTTAAGTGGCCAGGCGGATCGGGTCACAGCGCTGAGCCGGCACTGCTGAGATCCTACATTCAAATCCAAGTTTGACCTGGCTGGGATAAACGTTCACCAATTGTCTGTGGACATCAATTGGCTGAAAACTTCTTCATATGTAGAGAACTGCAGAGCAGTTTTTGGCGCTGGCTCGCCACCTGGCAGTCTTCGAGCTTGGTCTGTGGTTTCTCAGCGATTGTGAGATGCAATTCGCATGTAACAACACTATATATACATACAACATTGATCATGAGATTAATCATTAGATTCAACAAGGTTCTCAAGTTTAGTGAGTTTTGGTCTCAGCTGGCCACCAATCGTTGCATTGTAATTAATCTAAATTGAATAAAACCAACCCCATTTTGGTGGTGTTTTTTTGTGTACAGTCGTTCCTGTCAGGCCATTAACTCTCTACGCTTGATTACCCAGTTTCATCGCGGGTGTGTGGTTGAACCCTGGATTAAAACCCAGGCTATCATTTGTCATATTGTAATGACGACTTTGCGCACTTGTGTTGAGATGGTTTCTTTACTAAGGAGCCACGTGCTCACGCTCAGGACAGGCGGAGACCTCCACTGCAACAGCCCCGAGTTTCCCACGCATCTCCCTTATGTACGGTCCGAGGCCACGCCCCCATTCCTGAACCTTCTCGCTGGCTCTAGACCGCTCGCTCTACCAGCAGACTTTACCATCCTCTTCCGTCACCTGGCCATGCTCCTATTCTCGATCATTCCCGTAGCCACCAGTCCATTCGCACTGCAGGCTGACTCCCCTGTCATTACCTCCCGTGGCCACTAGTCCACTCACTCCTTAGGTAGATTCTACTGTCATTACAGAAGAGCTGTATAGCTCAGTGGGCCTTACCTGGTAAAAACACAGTTCAGTTTTAGTTTAGGGTGGCCCGGGAGACTGTGAACCTTTCGGGGGACCCTCTTCTTCTCTGCTCGTGCCATTCATATCCGCTGGCGGGCGCCGTGTGTGCGCGTGCCGCTGCTTCCCTGTGGCCGGTGCGAGCAGGCAGTTGTGGCTGCTCGTCGTGGTGCTCTTCGTGCTTGGAGTCTCCATCGGCACGGCCATCGTCCCCACCTTCTCTGAAATTCTCTCCATGGCCTAGTGAGTCGGGAGGGTCAGGCTGGGTACGTTCGCCGGGTTTCGCTACCCATCGCGCGCCCGGTGGGTGGTCGCACGAGGATGGAATGTGGCTCCGTTGATGGAGCCAGAAGGGCTCGTGTGGTTGTTGTGCAAGTCTACGGTTTAACACCGTTGTTCAGTCCACAGACAAACCTTTATATGATAAGGTTCCAAAATGAAATACATAAAGGTGGCCATAAATACTTTAAAGGGGGGTGCACTTGGATTGGTATTGCATCTACACTTGCGTGTTTCATCTAGACTGCCTGTGTCAAGTCTTGTTGCACAGATTGAATCGCTCTATGGCAGTCAGGAATGTGGTGTGTGCTATATTCATTCTAACTGCATAAGGTTTTTCGCGGTGGCTATAGCACCAAGCAGGAGTGTAGTACCTGACTGTCCCGGGAGACCGGCATCTGTAATGGAACCTGTATCTGCCCCGCAGTGAGAATGGCTTCGAAGAGGGTCTGGGTACGTTGGGCCTGGTCTCTGGCCTCTTCTCAAGCCTCATGTCCTTCGGGTGAGCCGACGGACGCTGCTAACAAACGCTCATCTGCACGGCCCTTACCCCCCCACCGCTTGTCGCGTTTGTAGTTACCGGCCGAGGAGGGTCCCGATCGCTCGACCACTCGATCGCTGCCTCATCTAGTTCACTCAGACTTCCAGTTCCAGCTTCGGGGCTCTGCCGTGTGCGGGTCAACCGCTCAACACTGTGCATAGTTGTTTTGTTGGGCAGCTTCGCATGCAGCAGGGGTGGCGCACGCGTGCTAAAAACGTGCTGAAACGGTGTGGCCTATGATCGACCTTGGCCACGCGCCGGTCTGTTTCGTCCGACTCAAGGCAATTTGGCTAGCTGGGGCCTACGCACGAGAGTAGCTGAAATTCAGTGGAGAAGTAAGACACTGCTGGTCCCTGTCCCCCGGGCTGACTGGCACCAGCGAGTAAGTTACGAGCCGAGCGGCGGCAGTGGTTGGGATATAATCGCCTCGCTGTGAGCCACGAGGCCATGAGCCGCAGACACAAAGGATTGGCCTGTACACTGACAGATGTCAAACATTCATCCCCCGTCCCGTCGCCATCATCTTCATATTAGCATTAACCTGCGTGTTTTATGAATAGTTGCTTCTCATTAGCAGCTGATTCAATGAGACGAGCCCTAGACGAGTTTCAACATCCGCGGCTCCGGCAAGATGCTGCCTGAATAAGGCCGAGTGAAATCAAACTCTTTCAAGGTGTTGCCTTAAAGAAATGAAGCTGCAACAATACATTGCTTCAGAAGACTGTGGCATGTATGACACTCGTAATTTAATACCCACAATCCACCACTGCAGCATTTGTGTACGTTAAACGTTAGCATTTATGTCCCATGTCTTAAAAATGATCTGCCAACCCCGCAGAAAAAAGTAAGTCGACGCCCAATCGGCTCGTAACCTAATTGATGTGGAAAATACCAATACTGTTGATGCATTACCCACGTTCCACAAAGGCAGCACACGATATTATTTTGAATACCATTGCTATCAACCCATACGGTTTACCCGTATTCTTATATAGAAATTTATTTTTCTTTTTTTGTGTTTCTGCCTTGTGATGGGACTTTGTCGGATGAACGTTGAGATCTTTGAGGGCACGGGGTAGACCAATAAGGTCTGAATTGGTCTGTAATAAGGTAGGCACTGACAAGGGGTTGACCGGTAGGGAATAGCGACATCGATTTTCAGTTGCGCGATAACGGTTGAAACACCCTCTGGCAGCCGGGTGAACGTGTAGCTTTGGGGGAACTCAACTAAGAGTTCCCCAAAACTACACGTTCAGCCCGGCTGCGAAATTGAAGGTGCAGGGGAAGGACATAAAACTTAACTGTGTTTTGTGTTTAGTTTGTTGTCCTTCCCCCCGCACCTCCGATTAGCACGGTTGGCTACGTACAGCGCGATAGAAGTTCAACATACGTACACACACACGCACAGTTCAACTTTTGTGGAAACAGCGCAGTGACGGCCGCCCCCTTTCCGTGCACCCCAGGAGCTTCGTGGGCCCCACGCTGGGCGGATTCCTCAACGAGCGAATCAAGTTCAAGTGGGCGGCCGCCGTGCAGGGACTCTTCCTGCTCGTGGCGGTGAGTGGGGACGTGCATCGCTCCACCCCAGAGACGGCACGCCCGGCCGTGGGCAACGCGGTTTAACCCCAACTCGTTACGCTTTGCCGCGGAACGTTATGAACGTATGTGGAACTTCTTCCGCACCGTACGTAGCCATCCGTGCTAATTGGAGGTACGGGACAAGGACAATAAACTAAACACAAAAAGCGGTTCTAAAGAAATGAGCTTCCAATGTAGATGTAAACGTGCGTAGCTCCAGTAGCTTCCTAATATCAGAAGGAAGAGTGTTCTAGACGGCTGCAGAAGCGCATCTGAAAGCGTGCGATGCAGTGGACCGTCTTTGTTCGATGACTAGCCAAAGAGGGTCACTGCATGGGTTAAAACCTGGCATATAAGGAGGTCGTGGGTTTGATTCCAACCCCCTGACGCCTGGAGTTTGTGTGTTCTCTCTCTCCGTGGTCGCGTGGATTTTAATCCAGGTCCTCTGGTTTTTCCCTCCACATTTAGAATCAACATGCGTTTTGAGTATTTGGCTGCTATAAATTCCCGCGTGATATGCTACTTTGTTGAGCTATCATTTGTGATAGCCAGGTCACTTCTGAAAAGGACCTCACCTGTTGAAATAAAAAATATTAATGAAAAATAGTAAGAATAAGCTCCTCATGTGTGTGCTTTGAGCATAAAGGGGAAAGCTCCTGGACCAGTTGGTATACGTTTAGAAATGGCGGCCAAATGTGAGCACATGCCCCCTCCCTCCTTTGGCTGCCCTTTCATCAACAGTCTTCAGAATCAGAATATTTATTTATACTGAAGGAATCCATCCAATGAACGAACACGTTCCTTCGGAGTGGGCAGGTAGGGACTTGGTTGGACAGCGCATTCGTGCGATCCGTGTCACGCGGCGCAAGCTGCGTGGGGCGGCGCGTCACGTGGTGCTGAGCCCGCCCGAAGCGCTCTGTGAAATACAAATCGAGGGCGTGGCTATGCATGACAGACAGACAGACAAATAATCCCTGGTGGGCAGTGTGGAAGCTGTTGTTCCTACCTGTAGGAGTGGGTCAGAACATTACAACAACAAACAATTAAAAAGCACGATCAGAGTGCAAAGTATAGGAACGGTAAACAAATCACTTACAAATATAAAACTAAATAATGTTTTATCTTACGAGGTAAAGTCCACTGATGTATTAACTTATTTTTCAGAAGCGACCTCAACGAAGTGGCTTATAGGTAAATGTATAGCAGCCAAATACACTAAATGCATGTTTGTAAATGTGGAGGGTGAAATCTAAGGACATGAAAAAAATCTACACGACCACGGGGAGAACACGCAAACTGCAAATATACAGGCATAAGGGTCGGGATCGAACCCCCGACCTCTTGTATACCAGGCGAGGGAGATGAAATTACACCACCGTGGCGCCCCTTAAATAAATCATGTAAGTTCAAATTGTGTCATCAATTCCTGAGCTTGGAAAAAGGCAGCAAAACAACAACAACAAAAACAGTCCCAGACCACACCAAGACAACACACAGTCCCTCAATAAAATTGAACATTAAAATGGAACTTTCAATAAATTATTCTTGGTTCTAAAGGAAAAGTCACGTGGAAGGGAAATAATAAAATAATAAAAATAAAACTATTACATTCCCACGAATAATAAACCCACAGCAAATTTTCTTGCTGTGGTTTTCACACCTGATGATTGCTTGTGTTGCAATCGAAACGTCGTGAGAATTTTATTGTTTTATTTTTTTTCATTTCCCTTCTACGTGACTTTACCGAAAGAGCCAAGAATATAAATCCCTGCAGTCACGAAAGCTTTAAATCGAAATTTCGATACATTGTTAAGAATACATCTTCTTTGTCCATTGGCTCAAACAACATCCCTTGAGATGCATCCTGCCCAAATCCACGATTATTGACGGGCAATATGACCAGTGCCATGTGCGTTTTTGTTATTGCGGATAACAAGAGCCGCGGGTATGAGCCATGATTACTGTTGATGTCTGTCCAGGTGTCTCAACGGTGCCACTTTTGCTGTACTGCTGTCAGTGGAGCGAGCACAGCCTTGCCGTGTTCAGAACCAGAATGTGTCTTTATCCTGGAGGAATCCGATGAGCCGTGAAGCTCTTTTGCATAGATGTCCAGTCGTGTTACCAGACACTCGGAGTGAATTGAGTGGAATGCTAACACTGTTGACCCGTTTTGTGTGTTTGTTCCAGGCTTGCATTATGTCCACGTATTACATCTGTGTGGCCAGATGCAAGAAAAGGTACGTGTTATTGTTTTTATTGATATTATTACTATGAATCACGTTTGTTTGCCCACGAAAGCCTCAATGAGTCTTCAGACATTTGTGTAATCTCTATTGAATACCTCACAAACATGAATACCTAACAATAAAATATAGTAAAAATATAGTAAAGCAATGAAAAACGTTTACATGAAGGCAAACACTATAATCACACAAGAAACAGATGATAATGCACAAACTTTAATCACCATCAAATAATAATTTCCCTGTAGCATAAGTCGGCTGGGCAGAATATCTTTAGACTGATCGATCATCATACAGCTACACTTAACAGAAGCATTAAACAGATAAAAGGGCACCATTGTACTGATATGTAAATGGGTGACAATATATGTGGGATGCCATCGCAAGTGACGTGATAATTCACTCTTTCCCCTTCCGAGATATCTGCAAGTTGCAGAGTGGGTGTCCCGTTCACCGCCGCATCTCAGAACGCGCAAGTGGTTAGCGTTCATTTTACTTTGAGAGTTGCATAGCGCCGTTGTGTTTAAAGACATTGTACTCACCGCTGAGAACTGCAGCGACACAACCACAACTCTATGATAGCTGGTGCCAAACTGTGCCACATGCCCTCCAGCCTGGCCTTCTGGGAGCATCGGTGCATCTTCCAACCTGAAAATGACCTGAATACGTACCGATAAAGTTATTTTATCCAAATTAAAGTTGTTGTTTTTTTGGGTTAGTGTGCCTAAATATAAATGTGTCGTTAAACCCGCCACCACCCGACACAGCCAATTAGTGTTTGTCACGTAAACAAAACGTGCCAATTCGATACGAGTTCAGCACACCGGCATGTTGGAGAGTAAACCCACAACATTTACAATTCGAGTATGATGTTTTGCTGGTGGTTACAACAACGACGGTTCCACCTGAAGACGGAAGCTTGTGTTGCCTCCGAAACGTCGTGATTTTATTTATTTGTTTTCTTTTTTTAACCTACGTGACTTTACCGAAGAAACCAAAGAGTATGATTTCAACAACCTTCATCCGGTGATTAGCCAGAATATTTTAGTTTTTCTTCCGATTCCGCTCCGATGACGTACACGTACGTACACTCACCTAATCTGAATGGGAAAGTGCTAACTACCTTGTTGAATGCTACCTGCCCTCTGACTGCCCCCCCACCCGTCCCCAGACACCGTGAGGCTCAGGAGCGGAACGAGCCTTCGGCCGATGAGACCAGGCCCCTGCTCTCCGAGACTCCACGCTGAGCCACGACGGATGGGCAGAGAGAGGGAGGGAGTGGACGCGTGTGGAGGCGGGCAACGGGGAAACGCTTCCACTGCGGGCAGAACGCTGGGACGAGCAGGAAACACGAATGTGGGAGAGTCGGGCCTTTACGAAATTTGTATGAAATGCAGTCGTGAAAAAGAGTGGAGCCATGGAATTTTGTTTTACTCTGCGCATACCTCCACTAGCTTCAGTCAATCTCAAGTCCGTTTTCTGTACAAGTGAGACTTAAGGGAAATACGGTCGTGGTGAAGCGTTTGCTCATCCCTCCAAAGCGATTTGATGAAATAGAGTTATTGTTGCACCGTCACTTGTATTGCTTCTCGTAATTTTTTCTGCAGTTTGCTGAATTGCGTTTACTCAGTTTGCCTAAACGGTTAATTAACGTATCAATTACATATCGTTTGTATTAATAGTAAACGTGGAATGCTATTAGTAACATATGATGTGAACGTGAGAGTATTTTATTTATTAATTGAGATATCGTTAAATGCCCCATTTCGCGAAAATATGCGCAGAACTTGTTACTGTCCTACTTTCCCTGCCTCCTTAACAGTTCAGTTGCATGTTCATTCTCGGCGAGTTTAATGGGGTTTTTTGTTTTTACCTAATGCTCCACTCTATTTTTCACGGTGGCCACTTCACCATCGAAGGCCCAGGAAGACTCGAGAAAAAACAAGCGCTTGTGTCTTCTGATTTTTACAGCACTTTTATCGCTCAATCATGCCGTATCAGAGATGTTGTAGTTTTGTAACAGAGGAATAATTATAGTCGTGGTTTATCACGAGTGTGGCCAAGAAGGTGGTGCGTGGGTGTGTTGTGTCTTTGGTGTTTGGAATGGGTGTGTGCACGTCCAGCCGTCTTTAGCATACGCCCGTTTTGCTGTGCACTTGAGGTGCTAGGGTGGTGAGATGTTAACTACTTCGCCTGGTATACAGGTCATCGGTTCGATCCTGACCCTAACGCCTGTATATTTGGAGTGTGCGTGTTCTCCCCGTGACCGTGTGTATTTTTCTCCGGGTCCTCCGGTTTTTCCCTCCACATTTAAAAACATGCGTTTAAGTGATAAGCCACTTTGCCGAGCTATCATTTGTGGCCAGGTCGATTCAGTGGGCCTTTCCCAGTAAAATAAAACGTTCATTTTTTTCTTCCTCCCGTTCACGTTCGATCGCTATGGGCTCCATTGCCGTTACGTTTAGAGAAATTGTCAGAAGTTAATCGGCTTTCCCGTACTTAAGCAATCCAGGTTGTGTCGTGGGCTATCCAACACGAGCTTGAATCTTTGTTTCTGAGAAAACACAGACTTTATAGTGCTTGTCACGCAGCTCATGACAGCACCGGTGAGATGTCACTGTTGAATCACTACGTGCACTACGATGAATCGTGGATGCTGCCGTAGTTCAGTGGGTAGTGCAACTGGGCTTGTCAACCTCGACGTTGCCGGTTCAATCTCCCGGCACGGCGGTTCAAACGATGAGACAACTTTATTAACCCCGCCTCTGTCCACCCAGCGGTATTAATGGATGCACTAGTCGGCAGGTCACGTGTGGTGGGGTAAAGTGTGGGTACTGCCACGTCTTCAAAGACGTCTGGCCAAGACACCCACTTGAGCATCCCTCGATTTTTGAGGCCCCTTGAGGCCAGCTGTGGCATGAGCAAGATCCCGTATGGCTGTCGTCCTCCTTGCTAACGTGAAGTGTAATATGTCAATGCGGTAATGTCACGAGAGCCGCGTTAGGAACGGTAACTTTATAGTAAATGCCCAGAAGCTTCAAACAGCCCAAGGCACGCGTCCTTGGTACGTGTACCCGAGACCCATATTGTGGGTTGCGTGTCCCTTCGTAAACACCAAACCGTTTGTCCGCATGTGTTTACAAATATTTTAGTCGGTTATTTAGCTGGGTATGGTCCCCACTAAGCTACATTACGAGAACCTGGTTCAAGCTCAAGGTTGTGTGTTAACCCGGTTAGAGATCATTGGATAACCTTACAAGGCACTGTGTTGTTTTCTTAGCTGTGCGTCTCAATACAAACACGTCGGCGTTTGATAAATCTAATTTATATTACTCGATTCAACATGTTTGGGAAAGGGACGTCTGTTAATAGTACGCTTTACTTTTTTATTCAATCACAATCTTTATCCTGGAGGAATCCGATGAGCTATGAGGCACTGTTTTTTTTACAGATGTCCAGAAGGGGGCGGGTCAGAAAGTTGCAACAACAAACAATACAACAACACGGAGTGCAAATTATACGAAAAGTAAGCAAGTCGCTGAAAACAAATCTAAGGATGTAACTAGAAATTGCAAAAGTACATACATTTCTGCGGATTTTTGTAACACGAAATGCAATCTTGGGCAAGGCAACAATAACAACAAAAACTGTCCCAGACCACGCACATTAAGATGTGACTATCGGTACACAGGCGTAAGATCAAAGTTACAAATCACATTTTCAGCTGTGGGTAGTATCCAGAATATATCTTTCTCCAGGATATTTTGTTCAATGAAGATTTACGAAACTAAAGGGGAGGTAACAAGGTTGTTTCAAACCGTTACAACGGCAAAGGCTTTGTCACCTACTCCAATTCTTGTTCTTGGGATAGTTAAAAGGCAATTAGCCTGACGCCTTGGGGTTTGACAGGGGTTTATGGAAGTATACTGCATCGCAGATTTGCCAATAAGGATATCATTTAAATCGTGGCACTCAAACTTGTATAGGTTCGATAACACATTGCCTATGACCTTAGCCTTCATTTCTCAACGGATGACTCTTCGAAACTCTTGGACGATTTCGTATTAAAAATGCTCTTGCATGACGCCGGAGTAGCCGTAGAGCCTTGCACAAAAGCCTTACACAAGCAACTTCCAGGTCAAATGTGCTCTGCATTGCAAAATAATGTTCAGCCCTGTCGCCGCCGCTTCACTGATGCATGAAGGGGCCCTCCCAGTGCCGTCTCGGGCGTGCAGATTGCTTGACCATACTTCTCCACACTGGTCGGTGTGGGATTGTGGTGCAGTGGGGAGCGAGGAAGGGGTTTGGGGCCAGAACCCAAAACCAGTTAAGATATCGGTTGCTACTAATATTCGCAGGGGCCAGGAATTAAACTCTTTAAATGTTTTTGCAGTGCACGTAACACGGCTTAATGATGCGGTGGGTTTTATCCACTCCACATTTTAATTGAGTAAAAAATATCTATTGATTTGATTTGGGCTTTTTTTTCGTTGGCAATTGAGCGGTTGTCAAGCAAAAAATGGTGAGATCCACCGGTGAAGCCGAGAAACACTTGACGTTTCGAAGGTGTATAAATGAAAAGGGATATTACAAAAAAAATCCTCGGCATAACTTGTGGCAGCGGGGCATCAGAAGTGCTGACGATCTCTTCAAGAGGTGCAGCTGCTATGCAAAGCAAACAATTGACCGTAAATTTTAAATGTGGCACCCATTCTTTCGTTGGTCACCATGCGTGTCTGCTTTTTCTTTTTTGCAATTGTCTTTACCCGTGGTATTGTACGGCCTCTAAACGCTTCGCATCGAGTGAACGTGATACGAAGTCGTGCACGCCGAGTTTTTAAGGGAGTTAACGACACGTAATACCTACCTCATAGAATGTTGGATTTGAAAGGGGTATTCGATATTTTCACGTGGTTTATGATGTAAAGCATTGATTAGGCGGTGGTCGGGTACAATGAAGTGTGTTGGTTTGTGTCGGTCGGTATCTGGCTTCGCACACATACATCTGCTGCTGCTGCAACTAAATTAAACTTCAGTATGCATAGCACCAAGCTAAACTCGGCAGTCCTGAACTGTATTACCTTAAAAAGCACATTAAATATGTCCATGAGATTAAACAGAAGCACGAGTCGAGTGATTTATTGCATAAATAAAAAAAAGGGGACGATGCAACACAAACCGAGAATGAATGAGTGAAATACAACACCGGACACCCCCCAACAAATGGGGGGTGGGGGGCAGTGTTACTCGCATTGAATGAATGTCCACGTGCACTATTGGGAGCAGGTGGCTCGTGAAGCGAAGCCACACATGGGGAGCGATTGGGTGAGGTGCAATGCAAAGTCGTGTACACAGACACACGTTATTTGTACTGGAACCCGCGATGATAAAACTCAACGTTTAACCTACTCACGCCGGCTTGTGCCCGCCCTCAGTCGGACATATTTGCGGAATACACCACGCCACCGTTGACCCTGGCCATTGACCGAGCAACCCAACGTTCCTACCAGCTCCCTCCGCAGGAATGTGTTTTGTACTGGAACCCACGATGCTATGAAGCTCTTTCGCAGGTGCCCAGCACCAAAGCTGATAGGCAATGGCGGGCAATCAGAGGTGATATACTTGTAGATATAAATTAAACAATTGCATGTTGTCAACCAGGGAACGGTCGCCGACCTTTCAAATCTTCATTAGCTCGGTGCATTGGGAGGGGTTTGCAGGCCTGGTTCATGTCACTCATGACGAATGTAAGCCATGGCCAGAGATTGAACTTGGGGTACCAGGTCGATAGCGCGGTGTGAGCTACTGCCCCATTGCTCGCACCTTAAATGTAATTTGCATTACGTATACTCGTCTTACATCGAACAAATATGAATATAAGTCCGTTTCGGTATCTCTTGCCACATTGCAATTTTGCAGAATGCCAGTAAAATGTTTAAAAGTCTCACCCGTGTATATCATTCAAGAAGTCGTATCAATTACAATTCGTCGGTATAGCCTAGATCTAAGGGAAACATTAATTTCAACCACAGCCAAAGGATTATAATCTACAGCAAACGTACACTAAATGGATATTGTCTGTATATTTTCCAGTCAGTTTGCAGTACATCTATGTATTATTTTAAGTAAACCACAAGATATAGGTCACAGTATTCATAAAAACATGCTCGAATTATCTAAGAGCAGGAACCTGTTTTATTGTTTACACAACAAAAAACCCAACTGGTATATATTGACTTTGCCTATGTACCCTGGGCTGTCTGACACGAGTTTAAAGCTTCATTAATGAAAAGGAACTGACATTACACCTGCGTACCATTATAACAATGTCGTAACATCACCTCCATGCATTGTAATACAGTACAAATTATGCCTGATCACAACTTTAAAGTTGTTTTTCACGTGAACAATTCTTCAAACTTGTGAGAAAGCTCAGGACATAGCCTAGGTACGTGTCAACAAGGACTGATCGTAATTATGGGACCCTTTCTCCAGTATGCCACGGTGGCAAGATGTTAATTACCTTGCCTGTTGTACAGGTCGTGGGTTCAATCCCAACCCTTATGCCTGGATATTTGGGGTTAGCATGTTCTCCCCGTGGTCGCGTGGCTGCTTCTCTGGGTCCTCCAGGTTTTCCCCTCTACATTTAGAAACATGCGTTTAGAGTATTTGGCTGCTGTACATTTCCACATGATAAGCCACTTCGTTGAGCTATCATTTGTGGCCAGGTCGCTTCTGAAAAATAGCTATATAGCTCAGTGGGCCTTTGCTGGTAGAATAAAAGTAGTTAATAGTATCAAGACATCAAATCATAAAATATCGATTTACCCTTGCTGCTGTACAGGAGTATTTATACTGGTGAATGGGGGTCCCTATAGCTATAACTGCTTAAACCCAGCTATGAATGCTTTGGTGTTTGCTTACTCCTTGTAACTGCTCGCCTTTGGGCGGCCTTTCGTCATAAAACAGTCTGCCTCCGGTGCAGACCCAACCAGTTGCAGGGAGAGTGCATACATTATCAACGCATATTTGTTTGCGTTTTTTTACCACATGCACGCGTGGTTAATGCAGACTTAATGCCTTGTGATTAGTGTCCGCAGGACTTTGTCGTGCTTAATCGTTGCACCTCTTTAAAATGTGTGGGCCTTTCCATGACATATATATCCAACATGCACAATGAATAAACGTCAGTGCAGGCCTCTGCATCACATTACAGGCAGCCACCAGCTTTAGTGGCTGGGAATGACAAAACAGATGATATTTTTAAATGTACTCATGCCAATATTTTACCCAAGAAGATCTTAACGACTATGAACATTTTACAGGAGGGTCCTCCATTGGGATGTTTGGCCAGTTCCATAACTGATTGAGTGGCATGTAGGGAAAAAAAAACACCAGAAAATCAACAGGGAATGTTATACAAGGAGATAAAACACTGCCAACTCCTTACGATCTCACAGCCCCAAGCCAACAACACCTGGAAAACCCTGGTGTATTCCATCCATGTCAAATATTAACCAGGCTCAACTCTATTCAGCTCCCAAGATATGAGAAGCTTATAAGTTGATTGGGTCATATTTGTTCCCACTCGCTGGGGGCAAAGCTCAATTGAAAAAAGCAGCAGAGCTTCCAATCATCGCCATCATCACCACTACTCTAGTGGAGGTAAGGAGTACAGCAAAACCTTGGACTGCGAGCATAATTCGTTCCGGAAACGTGTTTGTAATCCAAAGCACTCGTATATCAGTTGTGATCACGTGACGCTCGGCAGACAAAGCGTATATACGTACTACTCGTATTGCAAGACCTCGCTCGTTTATCAAATTAATATTTCTTTTTAAAAATTACTCGTCTTGCAAAACACTCGCAGACCAAGTTACTCGCAATCCAAGGTTTTACTGTACAACCTCGCGAGGGTGCACCACGTGATCGTTGCCACGTGGTGAGGCAGATCCCCACCGTGGAACCACACATCTGGTCTCGGGGTCATGCGCACATCGTTACGTTATAAATAGACCAATCGACACAAGTCAACACCGACATGCATTTAACACGAAAAGCCATCGCACACATTGCTACCTGCTGCTAAACGTAAAAGATTTCGGTCTCATTTAAAGCTATACATTTTGTAACACGATTAAGTAACTTGCGTACCATTACCGTTGTCCGAGTGTCGTTAAAACGGATTTATTATTCATTAACGTTAACCAGTTACAAATGTATACGTTGTGCTCGAGACGGCTCAGCACCACGTGCTACACAATTGTCTATTCCGTGCTGTGACCGAACCAAAACGTTAAAACCACCGTTGCAAAATGCAAAAGTGTAACTACAGCATTAATATTCCGGAGCCCCAAAGACCGATGTTCAAGAATAACCCACCGCTTTGGAACGCATCCACACGGCACCCAGCATGCTCTCCCTTAGCCGGCGTGCGAAACCCAAGGCTCACAACGCACACGAAGCACAAGCCCAGGTAACAAAAAGGCACCTCTCGCATGCCAGACTTGCGGGGTTTGCATAGTTTCCAGCCACTAAAGCGACAACTCCGGTTACTTGTAAAAGCCCATTCGCCCAACGAGTTCGTCATTCGCATTAACGAAAGGCTTCTTGTAGTCTGGGGGTGAGCTGCTTGACCGTAGAAGCCCAGGGAGCCATCACTTCCGACTGCCGTTGTTGAGTTTCTTCATCCCTTTGAGGCTCGACAGCAGATCCGCGATGAACCCCTGCAATGAGGCACATTAGTTTCTACGTCCGCGCGACCACGAGACGGTTGTGTCGTGATTTCATATTAGTTATCAGTTCCAGTCATTGTCTGCTGCTTCCTTGTGCCCCTGGGGGGCATCGACATATCGAATATCAAGGTGGCACTTACCTCTGGGCTCCAGAGTATAGATTTCTGGGTTCGATCGTGGAAATATAAATGTATCATTAAACCCGCCACCACCCGATATAGCCAATTAGTAAGGTTTGTCACGTAAAGAAAACATGCCTATTCGTTACTAGTTCAGCACACCGGTGTGTTGGGGAGTAAACTCACAACATTTACCATTCGAGTACGCAATGTAACCCAAAAACCTCACGGATATTGTTCGCAAAAGCCTACGTTTAAACTCACCTCTGGGCTGTTGGCGCATGCCTGTAAGATTTCCTGGAATGGCATAAAAAATATATTCATAAAAAATGTGAATTTGGCTGTTTTTACAAGAACAGTGTGCGTGAACACTTGTCAATATTGACTGCTGATTCTGTATGCGAGTCCATTGAAACAAAAAATATATCCACGCTCATACTTTTTAAGGAGCTCCCTTGTCAGTCATGAATCCCAACATAAACTGCACATCTCTATGATGGGGGCCTGCCTATCCAAGGATAGGCTGAAAGAAACTTGTCCATCGTTTCAACTGCCGCACCAGATCAAATAGTGGTTGCTCGTAAAGTGTGCTAAAGACAGCATTAATAGCTGTTGTATTTATTATGCTGTTGTATTTATTATGCTGTTGTATTTATTATGCTCGTATACCCAGGAAAGCCTGAGTCGCGTGACTCTTTTTCAGGAGGGTCCTCACAAGTTATCGGGGCGATGAAGAGGTCACACCATGACGCCAGCTCACATGATCTTTAACGTCAACTATGATGCACACGCCACGTAGCATTTCAAGTATTAATGAGGGCCGCCACTTGGCCATGTGACCACCGTAGTTAGTTAGTGGTGGTTTGCTGAGCATTACTGGTAGTAGTAATTCAAGTAGTTGTTGTTACTCCAATGAGCTCACCCGTAGCTGCTCCGCCCTCTCCTCATCCGTGTTGAGCTCCAGGAGATGGTCGATGTCAATTTCCAGCTCTGGCATCTCTTCCTCCTGCAGCGCACACAGGAGGAAAGCCTCATTGAGTCGCGAGTCCTTTGTCAGGAAAGTATTGCCCCCCTGGGGTGTTTTGCGAATTCCGTTTTACCTTTACCTGCTGCAAAGTGAAACACTGCATGGAAAATGCAGTGTCTGAAAGGCGAGAGTGGCTTAGTAGTTGAGTGTTTGGCTGCTATCAATTTGCATGTCACTTCGTTGAGCTATAATTTGTGGCCAGGTCGCTTCCGAAAACGAGTTATATAGCTTGGTGGGTCTTGCCTGTTAAAATAAAAATGGTTTCAAGAGTTTAATAGTTTATGATCAATCTGTGTGAAATTTGAGTGGGGTTTTTCCAGGCACTCCAGTGAATTTTTTTGCACTGCCCCTCCACCACTCACAACTGAATATGGTCAGAATACAATTCAACACAGGCAAAAACGAGAGGTTACCGAGCACCCATTAAACTCGCTGAACTTATCAAGGCTCCGCTCAACAAAGCCCTACGTTAGAGAATCAAATGCCACATGTTTCATAACAAGCGTAGTATCATGGCGCCTTTACTAGGGTCTCGTGACAATATTGACTGGGTGATTATGAAATGGGGCAATTGACCAGATAAGATCATTTTGACATCGACGATACACACGTTCCATCTTGTGTGTAAAAAATCTGTGATTTCTGATTCATGTGCAACGCTCTTTGTGATTTATTCGTAAAAAAAATACTGCAGTCACTTTCAATGCAATATGAACCACGAGGCCATAAAAAATAAGTGAACAGTGGACTAAGTGTTGACATTGAAGTAACAAGTGACGTTATGATGGAGGGGGGGCATAGATACAGCCGTAATAAGCACTGCAAACACATTAACTGGGGCTGTAAAGCTTTTCAAGGAAGCCATGCCCAATCCAAAGTGGGGTGAATTACAACACTTGCCACTTCGAGCGCAAGGGTCATTTAAAAGCCTGATAAACAACCGCGTCAATTGCATGGCGAATTGTACGTCCAATCGCGTGAGAAAATCTATCGTGAATGTTTCATGAAGTAATCACGCAGGCTTGCATCGTACCTACTCCGAACACGTTTAGGGTTGAAAGATCACGACATATTAAGACGGTGTTGTGTAAATATTCACCCCAGCCACAATGATCCGAGTTTGATTGTCGGTTACGGCTGACACAAGTGGCGAGTGATATCTATCAATTCCTTTAAATTTCACACCGACTGGCTTGGTGATCTACGTTCAAACACCACTCCTATGACCGACACAGCCTCGGAAGGCTTTACATCCAGTGCTGGATTTACAAAAGGGTTTTGAATGATTGTAAAATATTTTCTAAATTATATTTTGGCTCGAGGGGTGACATTAACCCATCACACGCAACATATACGAATCGCAAAGGACGGTTCTTAAACGGTAAATATGATGCGTGTATCATGATCTGGAGTATCGAATCTTTCTTGATCCATTCCACATGAAGTTTGTTTTGAAATGTTTGCATCGGAACACAACAAAACTCAGCACCGTAATGAGAAGCAGTGAACCTCGGTTGCACTTTAACCCAGAATGGCCACACCAAATCATACAATCCATGCATTCAATTATTCAACTTCCAAACTGCTCTCTCAAAGAAATGCTCACACGGTGAGTTTTTATGGATTCTAAGTCAATACTGCTCTCATTCACTTCAACAGGGTTACGTACAATTACTTGCCGTGTTTCCGCTGCTCGTGTTAATGTCTCCACGTAGACAAACGTTTACAAAGAGCCCAAGTAATGCAAATACGTGGAATTCACGTAAATGCAGCTGTGGATCTCCAAAAAATATGCAAGACCTTGGTGTATTTTACTTGACTTCGATTTGCTATTGAGACACAAATCAATTAGTCTTACATTTACATCGATTCAGGCTTACCGTACGTAAATTGTAGCCAGCTGACTTTGAGATGCGCATGCCATTTATTGTGAAAATTCAGTCACAGTTCCTATGATCACTGTTTCATTGCTTTCATGGCTTATTTTGATGATTTCGAAAAGTGTATTGGTTTAGCCATGTTTGTTTGTTGTAGTACAGAGTTAGACTGATGGCCTTAATCTAAGTTGTCTTGTGGTTGTTGTTGGTTGTTTGACTTGCATCCAACTGGGATTTTTGCACACAGCGTTAATGTACGGTGATTTTTTCTGCAATATTTTGCTGTCTTTTCTTGGATTTTCTGTTTGCACTTAGTCACATATTCACTTTGAGATGTTTTTTGTTCATGTTTTAGTTTTTTGTTTGTTGTGGTTGCACCCGATTGAAGAGCCGAATGGCTCACAGGGCTATACCTAATAAATTAACTTGAACTTTGTTCACCTCTAAATTTAAACACAGCCACTGGCGTATTTGTCAAAAGCACCGCCGTTCGGCAGTAAAGCGGAGGTTAAAGATACCGAGATTATTTGCATGTGCAGGCCACTGCGTGTAGCCACGGAATAGCCCAATTGTGTAGCTTGTATAAGACCTGTAAAGGAATGATGAAGTGCACCATAACTGGCCATCTAGTCTTCACTTGTATAGCGTCGTAATGAATGGGCTACCCTTCTCAATGAAATTATCGGTGACAATTTATTTTTTTAAGTCCAAAATGTATACGGTTCATCTTCTTGGTTCTTTCGGTAAAGTCACGTAGAATGGAAATAATAAAATAATAAAATTAAACATTATAAAATAATTCTCACGACGTTTCGGCCACAACGCAAGCAGCTGTCCTGCGTTGTGGCCGAAACGTCGTGAGAATTATTTTTTTATTTTTTTTATTTCCATTCTACGTGACTTTACCGAAAGAACCAAGAAGATGAATCCCTCAAGTCACGAAAGCTTTAAATGGAAATGTATACGGTTCTTTAATCGGTATAAAAATCGAACATAGTAATTAAGTGTACAATTTGCCATGCCACTGTCTTTGTGAACTGAGGGGAAATAATATAAGGCTTTAAAAGGGCTCACCCCACATTAATTGCGGGAACTGATACATTTATATAATCCATCAAGGTCCTGAAAAACAATGGCGGAGCCAGGATTTTCAGGTAGCGTGGGCAACCCATCCAGCAATGAAAAATGATAGAGGAGTTGTTAGTCAGTAAGGACTTGTCCCTTGCTTTTTATTCGACGCGTGTGCGGCGATGGCGCAACCATCGATCGAGGGTCGAAATCGACCCGTGTGTGATCGGCATCACGCTCGCTGAAGGTGTTGATGCCTTCAGGGAAGTCGTGTACTGTATACGCAACTGCGCACAACGAGTCACTTATAACTGCTTTGCCGTTACTTATTGTCAATTATGGACTCAGACTCTTGTCCTATCATCTCATAGAGGCCCTGGCATGTAATAATATGCTCCACAGTGGCAGTGGGGGTCGCAAAATGCCGATTTATTACTAATACACCCCAATGATCCGATCGAAATTGGGGATTTCGATCGGATCATTGGGGGGGGGGGGGGGGAGGGGGGCACGTGCCACCCCACTGGCTCTGCCAGTGCTTAAGATATTCTGATCGCCAACTGCTCGGCACTGCCAGGTCTAAGGTTGCGCTCTTTTGGCGCTCGGGCTTTTGTTAGCGTGGCACCCAAGATATGGAACGCCTTGCCGCTTGAAATCAGAGTCGGTAGATATAATTAAGTCTGCTTTGAAAACCCATCTCTTTAAAGTGGCATTCCCTCTTTAGTTTTGGTCGGTTGCCCCTGGTTCTGTTTTGTTTCCTACGCATTGGGATCCTAGGTTGGAATGCAAATTACAAATTTGAATTATTTGGATATGTTACAAAAAATTAGACTCATCAGCCGATGGGCCTGCGTTTTTTTAACTCGGAGCAACTGTTTATGTATTTTGTTTACGGTAAAGAAACAGACACAAGTACTTTATTCACAAAAATACATTTTTACGAGTACACACACAGTCTTCAGACACAAAAACAAAGACCCCCTATGAATACAGCTTTTCGCAATCGATTTGGGACACGTGCTGTTAGCGAACACTGGTGATGACCGGCAGGTCCCACAAGGAAGTGGAAAAACCAGCACCACTCGCTCACCGTTTGGACATCCCACCAGGTAATAATTTGAGACCGAGTCGACCTAGGGGAGGGCCAGATCTGGTTCAGATATACTCTGTTACCGACGTTGGCCTTGAGCGGGAATCTTAACTCGGCGCAGTGCGCAAACCACTGCGCCACCGCTCCCCAAAATGCAGACACAAGGAAACGCACGAACACTCATTATCGTGATACAGTACCTGCAAAAAACCCAAGAGGCACACGTAAAGGCACACACACAAGCTGGACAGTCACACAGATGACCACATCAACTGTTTAAAGGACAGTCGAGACGACTGGTGTTGTTAGCGAGCACCTATGGGGCCGTCCATAAATAACGTCACGCGGTTTTGCCCCCCCCCCCTTCGTCACACGACGTCACAAAGTCAGACCCCTCCCCCTCAAATATGGCGTCACAAAGCTCTGCCCCCCCCCCCCAAAAAAATATAAAACATGCTTCAAATCGCTTTAAACTATTGTCATTTTAGTGCATATTTAATGTGGCGCTGCACTCTGATCTTGTTGGAGAAAACATTTATTAAAAATTAAATTTAATTAAGTAGAACGTGTTGTCTATATTTATTTAAAGTTGCGAATTTTGATGTGATGTCACATTTCTGACCCCCCCCCCCTAGGTGCGTGACGTCATTTATGGACGACCTTATTGCAACACAAGACGCCAGCATACACACAACTCGAGGCGACTCAAGTGTCCTTCATTGCTGGCTCCGACAATACCAGAAAGCACGTGAAATCACCCCTTGCAGGCGGTGTGGCGGCCCTTGATGATGTTAACTACCTCGCCTGCCATGCGGCAAGGCCGTCTTTTCGTTCACGACCCTGACGCCTGCTGTCCGGTGATTTTCTTCTGGAAGACTTTGCAGTTTTTCCCTGGATTTTTCTGTTTGCGCGCATAGTCACTTTAAGATGTTTTCTTGTTTGTTGTTTGTTGCGGTTGCACCCGATTCAAGAGCCGAATGGCTCAGAGGGCTAAACCAAATACATGAAACTGAAACTGTATATTTGGAGTTTGCGTGTCTCACTCTTACCGTGGTCGGCGTTTTTCCCCTCCACAATTAGAATTAACATCGCCACGCGTTCACAGCATTTGGGCTGCTATACATTTCCACATGGCGATAAACCGCTTCGCTGATCTATCATTTGTGGCCAGGTCGCTTCTGAAAAATAGATAACTGGCTCCAGTGGGCCTTTTAAATTCACTTTACTTTAAAAATAAAGTTTTAGTGAATTAGACATCTGGACCCACTCCCTTGTACTAAACATCGATCATTCCCGGCCTTAACCAACAATTGACAAACAATCTAAATTTGAAGTTTTCGTGACTGCAGGGATCCATACTCTTTGGTTCTTTCGGTTTGTCAGTTTGGGTAAAGTCACGTAGGTATCAAATACATTAAATCACCGATTTAATTTATTCTATGTTATACCTACGTGATGATTTCTTTTATTTTATACCTACGTGATTTATTTTATACCTCCGTGATGATTTATTTCTAACCTACGTGACGATTTATTTTATTTTATACCTACGTGACGATTTATTTTATTTTATACCTACGTGATGATTTATTTCATTTTATACCTACGTGATGATTTATTTTATACCTCCGTGATTATTTATTTTTACCTCCGTGATTATTTATTTTATTTTATACCTACGTAACTTTACCCAAACTAACAAACACCGCACCAAAAAAAATGTGACGGTCACACTGGGCTCGTGTAACCGCACACTTCACCACTGTCGCCGCGGTCATTGTGTACGGCGGTGCCTCCCGCCCCAACACCGGCGGGGAGCTGTGTTGGTTGGGCAGGTGAAGCGCATGGCGAGCGAGACTCACGGGGCAGGCGTAGAGCTGCGTGAGCCTCTCGTCCACCCAGCCCTCCAGGTCGAGGCGGCGCTGCAGCTCACGCCGGTTGTACTTCACCGTCACCTTGCCCTGCCTGCGGCCCGGCGCGCCTGCCCCGGCATCCTCCTCCTCCTCGCCCTCGCACTCGCCTTCCTCTTCAGCGCCCGCCTCGAAGCACACGCGAGTGCCGCTGCTCTCCGACATCGTGTGCCGCCGCTCTTCGTCCTCTCTGTGTCAAACACCAACGCCAGAGCCACCACCACCACTACCGCCGCCTCCGTGCGACTCTTACCTGCTCCTCGGGCTCGCACCTGCGAGGTGAACCGATGGTGTGACGTCATCACGCACGCTTGCGTGGCCGACGTCACGCGCTCCGCTCAGCGTTGGGGGACGCACGCAGCGCGGGTGACGTCACGACGCAACCCAGGTACGTTGCAGGCGAGGGATCGCCATCGCCCTGCGCTTGCGGTGACGTAATCGCGCGCGCTGCGTGGTGACGTCACGCGACGTTGCTCAGCGCCGACGTCCGTCTACGTGATTACGTCACGACGGAACCCAGGTAGAATGTTGTCAGGAGCCCGTTACACCGCACTAGCGGTGACGTAATCGCGCGCGCTGCGTGGTGACGTCACGCGACGTTGCTCAGCGCCGACGTCCGTCTACGTGATTACGTCACGACGGAACCCAGGTAGAATGTTGTCAGGAGCCCGTTACACCGCACTAGCGGTGACGTAATCGCGCGCGCTGCGTGGTGACGTCACGCGACGTTGCTCAGCACCCACGTCCGTTTACGTGATTACGTCACGACAGAGCCCAGGTAGAGTGCTCTCAGGAGCCCGTTACACCGCACTGTCGATGACGCAATCGCGCACGCTGCGTGGTGACGTCACGCGACGATGCTCAGCGCTTGACGAATGGTGCGTAATGACGTCGATGGTCCGCGTGGACACGGCACGACGGCGCCCAGGTGAGCTGCGTGTTATGGTGGTACGTGATTGCGTCATCGATGACGCGCACAGTCGAGGCGTGCAACGTGCTCGGAGGGTCTCGAAGCCAACGGGGGGCCCGCGTGAGAGACGGCGTGTTGTAAGGGGCCGTCCATAAATGACGTCACGCACCTAGAGGGGGGGGGGGTCAGACATTTGTGACGATGTGTGACGAGGGGAGGGGGGTTTGAGAAATGTGACGTCACATAAAAATGCGCAACTTTAAATAAAAACTAGCTGTACTACCCGGCTTCGCCCGGGACTTGTATCCACCACGCCCGGCCGCCTTTGTCTCCCCAGTGGCGATGTTAATACGCGACAGCAGTTACTCGTTTTGAGGCTGAGTCCCTCCCTCACCACTCTCCCTCCCTCACCACTCTCCCTCACCACTCTCCCTCCCTCACCACTCTCCCTCCCTCACCACTCTCCCTCCCTCACCACTCTCCCTCCCTCCCCACTCTCCCTCCCTCACCGCTCTCCCTCCCTCACCACTCTCCCTCCCTCACCGCTCTCCCTCCCTCACCACTCTCCCTCCCTCACTCTCCCTCCCTCACCACTCTCCATCCCTCACCACTCTCCATCCCTCACCACTCTCCCTCCCTCACCACTCTCCCTCCCTCACCGCTCTCCCTCCCTCACCACTCTCCCTCCCTCACCACTCTCCCTCCCTCACCACTTTCCCTCCCTCACCACTCTCCCTCCCTCACCACTCTCCTCCCTCACCAGTCTTCCTCACCACTCTCCCTCCCTCACCACTCTCCCTCCCTCACCACTCTCCCTCCCTCACCACTCTCCCTCCCTCACTACTCTCCCTCCCTCACCGCTCTCCCTCCCTCACCGCTCTCCCTCCCTCACCACTCTCCCTCCCTCACCACTCTCCCTCCCTCACCACTCTCCATCCCTCACCACTCTCCTCCCTCACCACTCTCCCTCACCACTCTCCCTCACCACTCTCCCTCCCTCACCGCTCTCCCTCCCTCACCACTCTCCCTCCCTCACCGCTCTCCCTCCCTCACCACTCTCCCTCCCTCACCGCTCTCCCTCCCTCACCACTCTCCGTCTCTCACCGCTCTCCCTCCCTCACCACTCTCCCTCCCTCACCACTCTCCCTCCCTCACCACTCTCCCTCCCTCACCGCTCTCCCTCCCTCACCACTCTCCCTTCCTCACCACTCTCCCTCCCTCACCACTCTCCCTCCCTCACCGCTCTCCCTCCCTCACCACTCTCCATCCCTCACCACTCTCCTCCCTCACCACTCTCCCTCACCACTCTCCCTCCCTCACCACTCTCCCTCCCTCAACCGCTCTCCCTCCCTCACCACTCTCCCTCCCTCACCACTCTCCCTCCCTCACCACTCTCCCTCCCTCACCGCTCTCCCTCCCTCACCACTCTCCCTCCCTCACCGCTCTCCCTCCCTCACCGCTCTCCCTCCCTCACCGCTCTCCCTCCCTCACCGCTCTCCCTCCCTCACCGCTCTCCCTCCCTCACCACTCTCCCTTCCTCACCACTCTCCCTCCCTCACCGCTCTCCCTCCCTCACCGCTCTCCCTCCCTCACCGCTCTCCCTCCCTCACCGCTCTCCCCTCCCTCACCACTCTCCCTCCCTCACCACTCTCCCTCCCTCACCGCTCTCCTCCTCCCTCACCGCTCTCCCCTCCCTCACCACTCTGCCTCCCTCACCACTCTCCTCCCTCAGCACTCTCCCTCCCTCACCACTCTCCCTCCCTCACCACTCTCCCTCCCTCACCACTCTCCCTCCCTCACCACTCTCCCTCCCTCACCACTCTCCATCCCTCACCACTCTCCCTCCCTCACCACTCTCCCTCCCTCACCACTCTCCTCCCTCACCACTCTCCCTCCCTCACCACTCTCCCTCCCTCACCACTCTCCCTCCCTCACCACTCTCCTCCCTCACCACTCTCCCTCCCTCACCACTCTCCCTCACCACTCTCCCTCCCTCACCACTCTCCATCCCTCACCACTCTCCCTCCCTGACCACTCTCCCTCCCTCACCACTCTCCCTCCCTCACCACTCTCCCTCCCTCACCACTCTCCCTCCCTCACCACTCTCCTCCCTCACACTCTCCCCTCCCTCACCACTCTCCCTCCCTCACCACTCTCCCCCTCAGCACTCTCCCTCCCTCACCACTCTCCCTCCCTCACCACTCTCCCTCCCTCACCACTCTCCCTCCCTCACCACTCTCCCTCCCTCACCACTCTCCCTCCCTCACCACTCTCCCTCCCTCAGCACTCTCCCTCCCTCACCACTCTCCCTCCCTCACCACTCTCCCTCCCTCACCACTCTCCCTCCCTCACCACTCTCCCTCCCTCAGCACTCTCCCTCCCTCACCACTCTCCCTCCCTCACCACTCTCCATCCCTCACCACTCTCCCTCCCTCACCACTCTCCCTCCCTCACCACTCTCCCTCCCTCACCACTTTCCCTCCCTCACCACTCTCCATCCCTCACCACTCTCCCTCCCTCACCACTCTCCCTCCCTCACCACTCTCCTCCCTCAGCACTCTCTCTCCCTCACTACTCTCCCTCCCTCACCACTCTCCCTCCCTCAGCACTCTCCCTCAGCACTCTCCCTCCCTCAGCACTCTCCCTCCCTCAGCACTCTCCCTCCCTCACCACTCTCCCTCCCTCACCACTCTCCCTCCCTCACCACTCTCCCTCCCTCACCACTCTCCCTCCCTCAGCACTCTCCCTCCCTCAGCACTCTCCCTCCCTCAGCACTCTCCCTCCCTCACCACTCTCCTTCCCTCACCACTCTCCCTCCCTCACCACTCTCCCTCCCTCACCACTCTCCCTCCCTCACCACTCTCCTCCCTCACCACTCTCCCTCCCTCACCACTCTCCCTCCCTCACCACTCTCCCTCCCTCAGCACTCTCCCTCCCTCAGCACTCTCCCTCCCTTACCACTCTCCCTCCCTCAGCACTCTCCCTCCCTCACCACTCTCCCTCCCTCAGCACTCTCCCTCCCTCACCACTCTCCCTCCCTCACCACTCTCCCTCCCTCACCACTCTCCCTCCCTCACCACTCTCCATCCCTCACCACTCTCCCTCCCTCACCACTCTCCCTCCCTCAGCACTCTCCCTCAGCACTCTCCCTCCCTCAGCACTCTCCCTCCCTCACCACTCTCCCTCCCTCACCACTCTCCCTCCCTCACCACTCTCCCTCCCTCACCACTCTCCCTCCCTCAGCACTCTCCCTCCCTCAGCACTCTCCCTCCCTCACCACTCTCCCTCCCTCACCACTCTCCCTCCCTCACCACTCTCCCTCCCTCACCACTCTCCTCCCTCACCACTCTCCCTCCCTCACCACTCTCCCTCCCTCACCACTCTCCCTCCCTCACCACTTTCCCTCCCTCACCACTCTCCCTCCCTCAGCACTCTCCCTCCCTCAGCACTCTCCCTCCCTCACCACTCTCCCTCCCTCACCACTCTCCCTCCCTCACCACTCTCCCTCCCTCACCACTCTCCTCCCTCACCACTCTCCCTCCCTCACCACTCTCCCTCCCTCACCACTCTCCCTCCCTCACCACTCTCCCCTCCCTCACCACTCTCCCTCCCTCAGCACTCTCCCTCCTCAGCACTCTCCCTCCCTCACCACTCTCCCTCCCTCACCACCTCCCTCCCTCACCACTCTCCCTCCCTCACCACTCTCCTCCCTCACCACTCTCCCTCCCTCACCACTCTCCCTCCCGCACCACTCTCCCTCCCTCAGCACTCTCCCTCCCTCAGCACTCGCCCTCCCGATACCACTCTCCCTCCCTCAGCACTCTCCCTCCCTCACCACTCCCTCCTCAGCCACGCCCTCCTCACCACTCTCCCTCACCACTCTCCCTCCCTCAGCACTCTCCCTCCCTCAGCACATCTCTTCCCTCCCTCAGCACTCTCCCTCCCTCACCATCTCGCCTCCCTCAGCACTCTCCCCTCCCTCACCACTCTCCCTCCCTCACCACTCTCCCTCCCTCACCACCTCCCTCCCTCACCACTCTCCCTCCCTCACCACTCTCCTCCCTCACCACTCTCCTCCCTCACTCACACACTCTCCCTCCCTCACCACTCTCCCTCCCTCACGCACTCTCTCCTCCCTCAGCACTCTCCCTCCCTCAGCACTCTCCCTCCCTTACCACTCTCCCTCCCTCAGCACTCTCCCTCCCTCACCACTCTCCATCCCTCACCCTTTCCCTCCCTCACCACTCTCCCCTCCCTCAGCACTCTCCCTCCCTCACCACTCTCCCTCCCTCACCACTCTCCCTCCCTCACCACTCTCCCTCCCTCACCACTCTCCCTCCCTCACCACTCTCCCTCCCTCACCACTCTCCCTCCCTCAGGCACTCTCCCTCCCTCAGCACTCTCCCTCCCTCACCACTCTCCCTCCCTCACCACTCTCCCTCCCTCACCACTCTCCCTCCCTCACCACTCTCCTCCCTCACCACTCCCCTCCCTCACCACTCTCCCTCCCTCACCACTCTCCCTCCCTCACCACTCTCCCTCCCTCACCACTCTCCCTCCCTCAGCACTCTCCCTCCCTCAGCACTCTCCCTCCCTCAGCACTCTCCCCTCCCTCACCACTCTCCCCCCTCACCACTCTCCCCCCCTCACCACTCTCCTCCCTCACCACTCTCCCCCCTCACCACTCTCCCTCCCTCACCACTCTCCCTCCCTCACTCTCACCTCCCTCAGCACCTCTCCCTCCCTCACACTCTCCCTCCCTCACCACTCTCCCTCCCTCAGCACTCTCCCTCCCTCACCACTCTCCCTCCCCCCACTCCCCTCCCTCACCCTCTCCCCTCCCTCAGCACTCTCCCTCCCTCAGCACTCTCCCTCCCTCACCACTCCCCTCCCTCACCACTCTCCTCACCACTCTCCCTCCCTCAGCACTCTCCCTCCCTCAGCACTCTCCCCCCTCCCTCAGCACTCTCCCTCCCTCAGCACTCTCCCTCCCTCACCACTCTCCCTCCTCATCCCTCCCCTCCCTCACCACTCTCCCCTCCCTCACCACTCTCCCTCCCTCACCACTCTCCCTCCCTCACCACTCTCCCTCCCTCACCACTCTCTCTCCCTCACCACTCTCCCTCCCTCACCACTCTCCCTCCCTCACCACTCTCCCTCCCTCAGCACTCTCCCTCCCTCACCACTCTCCCTCCCTCACCACTCTCCCTCCCTCAGCACTCTCCCTCCCTCACCACTCTCCCTCCCTCACCACTCTCCCTCCCTCACCACTCTCCCTCCCTCACCACTCTCCCTCCCTCACCACTCTCCCTCCCTCACCACTCTCCCTCCCTCACCACTCTCCCTCCCTCACCACTCTCCCTCCCTCACCACTCTCCCTCCCTCACCACTCTCCCTCCCTCACCACTCTCCCTCCCTCACGACTCTGTAGAGGACGTGAAACTTTTATGAATTTACCTCAGAGTCGCGTGTTAATGCGTGCGCTTATTTTTAACGGGAATTAAAAATGGCGTCCACCCCGGGGCGAAGGCGTCGCTACCCGTTGCCAGGGGCAACCGCCGTCCAATGAAACTGCGTATGGTCCGGCGACCCACAGACAGACAGACAGATTCGCGATTTTAAATTTAGATTTAAAGCTTTTGTGACTGCAGGGATTCATATTCTCGGTTCTTTCGGTAAAGTCACGTAGAAGGTAAATAATAAAATAATAAAAATTAAACGTTATAAAATAAAATGAATGTTATAATTTCATTATTTTATTATTTCCCTTCTACGTGACTTTACCGAAAGAACCAAGAATACGTTTTACTTAATTAAATATACTTCTTATTAAATGTTTTCTCCTACAACATCAGCGATTTGAAGCATGTTTTATTTTTAAAATGGAAATATGGTTTTGGGGGGGGGGGTTGGAGGGCAGAGCTTTGTGACATCATATTTGAGGGGGGGGGTCTGACTTTTTGTGACGTCTTGTGACGAGGGGGGGGGGGGGTCAAAAATCGTCCAAAATCGCGTGATGTCATTTATGGACGGCCCCTAAGAGAGGCCTTCATCCAACAGTGGATTTGATCATGGATGATGATGACAATGTTGGGACAGGAGGTGCGGTGGATTCGATCCCGATCCACATTCCGTAATATGCAAAGTTTGCATGTTCCGGAATGGCCCCGCCTACTCTTTAGACTCCGCCCACTAATCAGGTAGCTCCGCCCATTTGTCAGTTAGCCCGCCCACTTGCCAGGTAGCCCCGCCCATTAATCAGATAGCCCCGCCCACTTGCCAGGTAGCCCCGCCCACTAATCAGTTAGCCCTGCCCACTTGCCAGGTAGCCCCGCCCATTAATCGGATTGCCCCGCCCACTTGTCAGGTAGCCCCGCCCACTAATCAGTTAGCCCCGCCCACTTGCCAGGTAGCCCCGCCCACTAATCAGTTAGCCCGCCCACTTGCCAGGTAGCCCCGCCCATTAATCAGATAGCCCCGCCCATTTGTCAGATAGCCCCGCTCACTAATCAGTTAGCCCCGCCCATTTGTCAGATAGCCCCGCCCACTAATCAGTTATCCCGCCCACTTGTCAGATAGCCCCGCCCACTAATCAGTTAGCCCCGCCCATTTGTCAGATAGCCCCGCCCACTAATCAGTTAGCCCGCCCACTTGCCAGATAGCCCCGCCCATTAATCAGATAGCACCGCCCACTTTCCAGATAGCCCCGCCCATTAATCAGTTAGCCCCGCCCACTTGTCAGGTAGCCCCGCCCACTAATCAGGTAGCTCCGCCCACTTGTCAGGTAGCCCCGCCCATTAATCGGATAGCCCCGCCTACTGCCCAGGCATCTCCGTCGACTGCCTGAGGTAGCCCTGCGTATGCTCACATAGCTCCAACTTTTCTCCGAATCGTGGGGTCGAGCATGCGGTTAAAATGTTTTTAGATTACTGGGAAGACCTGGCCAAACCGACACGTTTAGCACGTGTATCGTCACATTCATGTTTTCGATCTGTACGTGCAGAAGACAATTTATAACGCAAAATAACCAAATAATAAGTTAAATAGCAAAATATCTAAGCAATTCCTTTTGCATATATATCTGCCTCTAAGTAACAAAGAAAGAAAGTACTACCACTGCCACACAACCCATCCATCGGCACACGGTCTACTGCGAGTGCATCATTTTTGCAGCATTGATTTGCTTATTCTAGATTTGAAGTTTTCGTGACTGCAATTATCCATACTCTCTGGTTCTTTCGGTAAAGTCACGTAAGTGAAAAAAAAAGTAATAAATATTAATTAAATAATATATCCATTTATTTATCTTCTTGGTTCTTTCGGTAAAGTCACGTAGAAGGGAAATAATAAAATAATACAAATAAAACATAATAAAATAAAATTCTCACGACGTTTCGGCCACAACAAAAGAAAGAACCAAGAGGATGAATCCCTGCAGTCACGAACGCTTTAAATCACCATTTATTTATTTTTAGTTTTTATTTTTCACCAACATGATTTGCTTATCTCGTGCATAATGAGGTTCGGAGATGCAGCGACGTGATGACATCACGACGCATAGTCCCCAGGCACGGTTTGCAATGAGTGACGTCATCACGTATCGGCGTCGTCTCGCGCCCAATCGTTACGCGATGACGTTCGCGTCCAGACGGGCGACGCTCCTCAGCGCAATGACGCACGCTACGGCGCCATTACGTCATCACATCACGTTTTGTTTTGACGCGGTGACGTCACGACGCAAATTTTGCGTCGTGACGTCACCGCGCAACTTGCGTCATGACGTCACCCGCGTGCGAGGCGGTGTATTTCGTGTGTGTGTTAGATGTGTGTGTGTAGGTGAGTGTCAGTGTGCGTTTGAGAGAGCGAGCGAGCGAAATCTAAGGGGGGCGCGGGGGTGGAGAACGTCTCTCAATGTCGTCGCCGGCGTGAGATCCTCTATGTAGCCTCGGCCCGTGCTCCCCGCTTCTCCGCGGTGAGTGACGCCTAACAGCGCTCAGGCCACGGGGCCCCCATTGTTAGTGCGCTGCGACCCATTCAGAGCTCGTGTATCATCATCATCATCACTGCTGCTGCTGCTTCATTCATTGTGCCGCTGCTGCTGCTTTTGGCTGGTGCTCGGTGTCTCTGTTCATGTGTCCGAGGCTCCAGAGCGAGTCTGCCGCAGGCGACGAGGGTTCACCCCGGCACCGTTACTCCTCGAGACCACCCCTCCTCCTCCTACGGGCTGTGAGGGGGCCATTCCCAAATCATTGGCGTGGTTGGGGTCTCTCGACCCTGCGTGTGACCCTGATACTGACCACCTCGGTCCAGATCGGACCACGGTTATTAATTGAGCGTGACCCGCACCCAGGCATGGCTCACGTTCTGTCCAAGAATTATGGACTGAATACTTGAAGCTGCCCCGTGTGAATAAGGTTCTGCATTGAACCTGACCCGCAAAGCAGGCATGGCCCAGATTGTGACCCTCACCTGAAATTGACTCAGACATGTAAACTTTGAAATCACTCCGATATTTAAACTTTGATATGACTGTGGTATATAAACTTACCCAAGATCTGACTCCAACCCATGTTCTGGTCCAGATTCTGACATCGAGCTAATCATGACCCAGATTATTTCTGATTCGGTCTCTGGCCCATAATTGACCCAGACCAGTGGCTGGATACAGAAAACACCATGAGATTGTTTTCCCATTGTCCTGATTTCAATTACTCAAATTAGTTGAGTATACTTAAAATGTCTTTGCAACTGGCCGCTTACATTGACCCCGAACTGACCTCAACCCTGCCCTTGCAGAGAGTCATAATATTGAACCAGATATTTGACTGGACTCTGTTCACAAACAAACTAAACCATAAATCTAACTTTGAATCAGAGCCTGAACCAAACACGAGCCTAGATGCTGACCTCTATCCTGACTGAACATTAACACAGTGGCGAGATGTTAACTACCACCCCTGGTATACAGGAGGTCGTGGGTTCCATCCCGACTCTGGCACCTGTATATTTGGAGATTGCATGTTCTCCCGTGTTCGCTTGAAATTTTCTGCGGATCCTCCGGTTTGTTCATCTACATTTAGAAGCATGCATTTAGAGCATTTGGCTGCTATAAATTTCCACATGATAAGCAATTTCGTTGAGCTGTCATTTGTGGTCAGATTGCTTCTGAAAAAGAGCTATATGTATGAATGTATGTTGAACTTCTTTCATACTGTGCATAAGCCAGCCATGCCAATGGAAGGTGTGGGGGAAGGGCAACAAACTAAACACAAAAAGCAATTCCAGAGCAATTAGTTTTCAATCTAGATTGAAAAGTGTATTTCGGCTGTGGCTTCCTAATATCGGAAGGAAGAGCGTTCCAGACGGCCGCAGAAGCGCATCTGAAAGCATGCGATGCAGTGACCGTCTTTAGCTCAGTGGGCCTTATCTGGTAAAATAAAAAAAATAGTTTAGCTTAAAAAAATGTTTTAGTTTAGTTTCTATCTCAATTTTGACAGAGATCTGGAACCCAATCTCGGCCCTCTCATTACTCCAATGTCCAATTGCTGTGTATTAGCTCGTATTGCATGATTGTTGTCTGGTCTAGAATTGGACCAGTGCAGAATATTAACCGCGTGGTGGTGGTGGGTAATTGTATGGACCTCATTTGCCGTATCTTTCTCCAGTGCAGACTCTCAACTGGGTTGTGAAGCATCATGCTATTTTGTGGTAATTCTGGGACGAATGTCCCAATATTAGCATATTGAGTGGAATTCAATCAGGTGCAAGGCCAGTCATATGCATTGTCTCTATGGAGTGTGTGTTTGTATATTTTATTATCATATGATAGCTTCGCTAGTATTTTTAAAAAAATGTAACCAGGCAAGAGCCCTTTGAGACCACAGGTCTCCTTTTCAAAAGATAGATTATTGGGTGGTCTTTCTAAATTACCACATTTGCAGCAGTGGCTCGTTGCATAATCCACTTATTTTTCCATTGTGCTGATTTAAATTGGAAGCTAAGAAAAATGTCACTTCTTTTGTGTGTATCTGGCCACAGTGGTACTAGACAACTTGTTTTGAGCAAACATGACTGCAGTGCATTTTGTTTTGATTCAAGGGTAGTAGTAGTGCACGCCTGTAATTCATCTTTGTTTTCACAATCACTATGCAAATCAGTAATCACCCTCTACTGGCAGATGAATGCCCCAGATCACTTGCAAAATTAGACTATCCAGGTCTCTTGTGCACTCACCTGGTGAAACAAAATGAACTTAACTTCAAACAACTCTTCGAAAACAAGGGTTTGGTGAATGCTGCAGATTTACAAACTGAAAAAAATACCCAGAGGTATTGTTCTCCTTGTTGAACTACCATATATGTAGCGATTATAAATCATGATATTAAAACCTTATTCATTACAACACTTTCATTTTAGCTCGAATAATTCACTTGTGGACCACCAACAAGAAGAATACCCTCCACTTGCTATGAGGTGATGAGAAAATAGCAGTACAACGATTGGGTTCATGGACACATCTGTGCAGACTTTTGTTGTCCCCTTCATATGGTGTATGTGTTGTCCCTGGATACTGTCGCATTCTTGTACACGCAAAACACACTTTAAGAATGAATCGGAGGGAAAAACATCCTCACTCTTGGGATTACGCACATGGCAACATCGCCACCTACTGCGAAAAGTTGGCAAAGACCCACCCGGAATTTTTTTTCCAACTCAACGAGGCTTTCCTTGCCAAAAACAAGTGGCAATTAAATTTTAGTTACAGCTGGTTAACATTACCGTTGATTTTTGGATGATTGTTTTTTCAAGGAAAATTCAACATTGTATTTCTTATTGTGTGGTGTTTTCTTGATTTGCCATTGTCTTCATATGGTTTGTATTTTTTTCAGGTGTCAGGGTAAAAGTGCAGGGGTAAAAATGAGTGAAGATGACAAGCCATTTGTGTGCAACGTGCCAGGCTGTGGGCAGGTAACACATGACTCACCTCATCTCACTACGGAACAGGGTACCTCCATGTCCATTAACAGCACTCCAGCACTCACTGCCTTGCTGTATCGTTACAATTCTCAGTGTTTTATGTACGACTCATTTGCCATTGGCTTCTTAAATAAATCAAGTTCCTCGTTGCGGGGGCAAATTTAGAAAAAAAGTGAGCACCATCTTTTGAGACAGGTTCAATTTGATTGGCAAGCCAATTTTGCAGTTTCCAATGGAGAGGCAGACCCCCTTCCATACGGACCTTCCACCAGTGGCTCAGGGCCCACCGGTGAAAATGATCTCTTGCCCAACGTGTGTTTGATGATGTGCACTTACCTCGTACATATATGTGTACACAAAAAATGAGGCTCACACTTTGTTGTTGTTGTTTTTCTCTGCAGAGCTTCACTAACGAAGACCATCTGTCCGTGCACAAACACAAGCATGAGATGACTCTCAAGTTTGGGCCACCCAAGAGTGACGCCCTCGTCGTTGCTGGTGAGTCGCTGTTCTCCGAGCAGCGCCGTCAGCAGTTTTATTTCTGTGATCCTCACGATGATTATCATTTCGCTTGTTTACCTAAAAAGTGTCTACAACAGTGTCCTTTTACAAATTTTCAGGGGGTGTTCTCTGTCACCAATAAGACTTCAGTGGGAGGGCCGCCACACATTTGAAACCATTGGTTTTGACAGCATGATGGGGTGTTTTCACATTTGTATATTGTCGGGGGCTGCACGTCAGGGTCCACGCTAAAGGCCACCAGAGGCCGCCAGTGGCCCACGGGCCTTGCAATGAACACACTGCTCTACTATATACAGCTGCATGAAGGCCTCTTCACGCTGTCGCCGTCGCGCACAGTCCAGTGCTACCATTTCACTCCTGCACATGAACTGATCTCATCACCCCTTATCTACGATGGTCATCCTCTTGGATGCGTTCTCTCCTTTGGCCGAAATTCCATCATCAGCCTGGTTCGTTGGCCATCATCCCATCTCACGGTGCTTCCTGCCCAAGCCTTTTTACTTTCTGAACTGTCGTTATGCTTTTGATTTGTGTTTGTTCCCTCATCCACTCGTTACTTTTTCTGTCTGTGTCATTCCAAGCGTGAATTTTGTCCATGCTTTGTTGGCTTTTGAGCTTTTGTCTCATTTTATTTGTCGTTCCATGTTTCTGATCCGTATGTCAGAGCTGGCAGCACGCGCTGATTGAAAACTTTCTTCTTCAGACACATTAGTGTGTTCCTTTTCATTTTCACCAAGTACACAAGAGTGCTCCCATCTTCCTTGTCTCCCGTGCAGACCAGACTCCGACCCCGACTCGATTCTTGAAGAACTGTGAAGAAGTCGGCCTTTTCCATGAGCTCGCAAGCCCCTTTGATAAGCTGGAGCATGAGTTTAAGAAGGCTCAAGAGGAAGAGGACAAAAAGGTGGGGTGTTTATACCCCTCTGATTTTGTTGCCTCCATCATAATCAGTTACCGCTGTCAACCACCACCTTTAGAATAATTTCATCGCCATTGCCATGCTCAGACTCTGTCGTTCAATGTTCACAAAGTCAACATTGCTCATAAAACACATTGTCAATAAGCATTCATCACCTGTGTACTGTCACCAGGGTACTTTATATGGGAGCCTATAGGCTACTTCCAGTCGTTTCTCCAACTGATATCTTCAGTTGTTTAGTGAACTTATGCACAAGTTTTGTTTCGCTCATATTTGAGCCCCACTTTGCAGCCAACTTTATTCAGTTCTTCTGACATTTCCTGTGCTATATTTCATTTTTCCATTGGTTGTTACAGTAACAATGTCATCAGCACATCTGAGATGACTAATACTTTCTCCACCTATATATATGCCTTTATTTCTTAAATCCAATTTCCGAGAAACATTGTCTATCGTCACTGTGAATAACTTTGGCGAATTCTCTTATCCGTATATTATAAATGTATTCGTGCAACGTCAATGAATCTAATACAATTTTGTGAATGTTTTCATAAAAAAAAAAGATTTCCATCGTGACTAGTTGGAAGGGAAGACGCAAGTCGACATTGGCTCTTGCAGACGTGGACCCAGACTGTGTGTCCTAGGCTGACTGCGCGTATGAAGCTCCTTAAATGAGAAAAAAAAGCGTTAAAGCTACGGTCAAAAATGTTGCTATAGACTTGGATTTAAATATTTTTTTAACGTTTTTTTTATATACGTTTTTATTACAACAAAACGCGAGCCCGGTAAAACACGCCGAAAGATTCCAGTGGCGGGGTATAGAGAATCCACGGTAATACATTCCGGTGCAACGGAACCACACGAAAGGTCAGGGAAGAAGGGGTATAGGGCCCGCCACCCCATTCAATACCTTTTGTTTAATTGTTAATGAGGCTTTAAACGTTTGTCATGCCGACGGCTTGGGGAGTTCTTCATTCAGCAGTAGGTTGACGATGCTGATGATCTTGTCGGACAGCCCATGCCGCAGGGCTCAGGTATGTACGTATATCTACGACAATGAGAGCTCATCGTTTTTTGGGTTGCCTCTTCATTCTTGTCGTTGTCGTAATCTTTTTTTATTTTTCCCTCCACATTTAAAAACATGAATTTAGAGTATCTGGCTGCTGTACATTTCCACATGGTGATAAGCCACTTCGTGGCGCTGTAATTTGTGGCCAGGTCACTTCTGAAAAAGAGCTACGTAGCTCAGTGGGCCTTACCTGGTAAAATAAAATATGCATTTTAAAAGTAGTTTGTAGTAATTCCTCGAGCCGGTCTGCGCAGCTCGTGCTGGGGCTGCCTGCCCCCAGCCTGGCCGAGGCGAGCAGCAAGGATGGGGAGCACGTGGCTATGGAAACCTCGCAGCCCTGCACCTCCTCCACCCAGCCTGAGCCCAGCGCCGGCAGCAGCAACAAGAAGGTGAATGTGGTGGGGGAGGGTGGGGTGGCGGCACTTGCACGGCAGGAGGAAGTATGGGGCGCCACGGTGGCGAGATGTTAACTCCCTCGCCTGAAATGTAGGAGTTCGTGGGTTCGATCCCGACCCTGACGCCTGTATATCTGGAGTTTGCATGTTCTCCCCGCGGTCGCGTGGATCTTTCTCCAGGTCCTCCGGTTTTTCGCTCCACATTTTGAATCAACAGGCATTCAGAGTATGTTGCTGCTATAAATTTGCATATGAACCTTATGGCGGAACGCCGGGGTCCCGAATAAACGGAAGTCAAAATCGTAATTAATTAATAATTTTTTGGCGACTCCGTCCCACCGCGCACATAAACGCCGCGACCCACCTGGCGCGGATCATTCTGTTATCATGTCGTCCAAGCGCAGCAGCGAGGATGAATGCGCAAGAAGAAACAAAACTTTTAAACTTTGATTAGCGCATCGTGTAGAGCTCATCGAGAGGAATATATTGCCATATCGTTCGCCTTCAACAGACATAAAATTACGTCACAACGCAGTTTATGCGGGAGCCGGGGGCTTATAGGACCCTGTGTTATCACATAAGGTTCATGTGATAAGCCACTTTGTTGACCTGTCATTTGTGGCCAAGTCGCTTCTGAAAAAGAGCTAAATAGCTCAAAATACAAATACATAAATAGAATATAAGAATACTGGTGAGGTCAAGACATCCAGCGCTACCAAGCATCACGACCATTGTAGGAGCATGTTGTGCTTATTGTTATTGCATGGAAGTCGGTGAGCTGAGTTTGATTCCTGACTATGGCTATCATTAGTTGTGAGCGATATCAGTCTTGGGTACTCCTCTCTCACCGACCCACGCTGGCTAGCGTGGTGAAGAGTGGTCAAACGACTCCAATCGCAGACATTCAATGTGGATTTACAAAGGGCTGTACAAGCTTCCTAGAATGTAATGCAAGTGTAGTGGATTCAACTGAGTCGCGGACATACTCTTTGGAGACAACACATTTATTAATACCAACACATTACCACAAAGGGGTTACTGCCCCTTTACTAGATAACCTGTGGTGGTGCACCACCAGGCCAACTACGCTAGTTACTGGGAGTAGCTACAACGGACAGGACCCTGGCTTCGGTCCTCGCCCACGTGTTGATGACTTCTTCTTGGACGTAGATCGTAGATCTTCAGATGACAACAGCAACGCTGAACCCCGGTCCCTGTGCGGACCCCGGTTTATATGCTCCCGGGTCGTGGCTAGCCCCGCCCTTGGCCACGACCACCTTCGGGAAACCTCATGCTGTTTCTCGACCCTTCCCGTAGGATCTCACCCTGACACGTGACGACCCCCTAGCCCCCACCTGGGGCCCCTGTGTAGATTTTACTTCTCACGTGACTTCCAGGGTCAACCAGAGTGCCATGGTCTCGGCTAACCTCATCCCCTGGCTGACACTCTCACACTCCCTCCTGTAGGGGTCAGCACTGCACACCACGCGTGGTGCCACTGAGCGCTATCCCAGCGCTCACCGAGCCCCCTCTAGGGCTGGTACTACACCCACATGTACGGGGTGTCCGCGATGACAATGCATCGCACGCCGTGCCTCGCTAGAGCCGGCATTACTCAGCGACACTCACGATGTCGCTACATATGTGATGGCCGCGATGTCAGTCACAGCATCAGGTTCACCGATCACTTCAGCTACCTCGGTGTCATCCTAGATTCAACTTTATCCTTCGACCGTCAAACCAATCATATCATCAGTTCATGTAACTTTCACCTGAAGGCTCTCAGACACCTACGTCCTCTCATCTCCACTGAAATTGCCAACACGTTGGCATGTTGCATAGTTGGGTCTCGACTATTGCAACTCCGTCCTAGTCCGGACCTCCACTGGCAACCTAAAAAAACTTCATAGAGCTTGGCTTTCGCGCCTCTGAGTTGCGGCCGTTACGTCCGCAAATTTGCGCTCGTTATAAATTACATTATTATTATATTATTATTAGTACATCGCATGCCGTGCCTCTCTAGGGCCGGCACCACACAGTGACATTCGCAATGTCGCTACACAAGCATACCCATGAAGGCCAGGTGTGCTAATATCCATTGTGTTTAACACGTAGGCTTTCGCGACCAATATTATTCATAATCAACGTTTTTGGGTTTAGATCGCGTTATTTATAAATGTGTCGTAACCCTCCACCACCCGACACGGTCAATCAGTAAAAAAGTGTCACGTTGACAAAAGACAAATAGTTCACTGCTTTAGCCCACCGGTGTGTTGAAGCGTGAAACCACAACATTTACAATTTGAGTACGACGTTTCGCTGTTAATTGCATCCAGCATCATCGGGCAATTCGCCAGAATGGTGAGGCTCTGCTGTGTCTCCCGTTCTTATATAGAGCAGCAGCAGGGTGACGTCATCATCCATTGTGTGCTTGTATCAGAGGTTGCCCATCGCCTTCACCCCACAAATGTAACGAAAGGATGCATTCCTCGTAAGAGAACTGCGCTGATATAAGCTGTGCCCTATGTTCAGCTTCTACCTGTGTAGTGTCTTCAACAATTACTCACACCAACACGTGGTAACAAGTCACCTGCTTACACTTTATTCACCTATTCTTGCACCAATTGTAGGCACTCCTATAACTATCTATGCGGTAACTTCTCCCCACTCTTATCTACCTTTCACCTCGCTTATCCTGCACTCAGCAGCTCTGCTCTCAGCGACTCCGCACACAGCGTCTCCGCACACAGCGTAACCCCATACAGCGTCTCCCCACACAGCGTCTCCGCACACAGCGTCTCCGCACACAGCGTCTCCGCACACAGCGTCTCACACACAGCGTCTCCACACACAGCGTCTCCCCACACAGCGTCTCCCCACACAGCGTCTCCACACACAGTGTCTCCACACACAACGTCTCCTCACACAGCGTCTCCGCACACAGCGTCTCACACACAGCGACTCCACACACAGCGTCTCTACACACAGCGTCTCCACACACAGCGTCTCCACACACAGCGTCACCACACTCAGCGTCTCCACACAAAGCGTCTCCCCACACAGCGTCTCCGCACACAGCGTCTCCGCACACAGCGTCTCCCCACACAGCGTCTCCACACTCAGCGTCTCCCCACACAGCGTCTCCACACACAACGTCTCACACACAGCGTCTCCCCACACACAGCGTCTCACACACAGCGTCTCCCCACACAGCGTCTCCCCACACAGCGTCTCACACGCAGCGTCTCCCCACACAGCGTCTCCACACACAGCGTCTCCACACACAGCGTCTCCCCACACAGCGTCTCCACACACAGCGACTCCACACACAGCATCTCCCCACACAGCGTCTCCACACACAGCGTCTCCACACACAGCGTCTCCACACACAACGTCTCACACACACAGCGTCTCCCCACACAGCGTCTCCCCACACAGCGTCTCCCCACACAGCGTCTCCCCACACACAGCGTCTCACACACAGCGTCTCACACACAGCGTCTCCCCACACAGCGTCTCCCCACACACATCGTCTCCGCACACAGCGTCTCACACACAGCGTCTCCCCACACAGCGTCTCCACACACAGCGTCTCCCCACACAGCGTCTCCACACACAGCGTCTCCACACACAGCGTCTCCACACACAGCGTCTCCACACACAGCGTCTCCACACACAGCGTCTCCGCACACAGCATCTTCACACACTGCGACTCTACATCTCCACCGCTGCCCTCACCTACGCTCCCTCAGACCCGCTCACCCGTCTGTCCTGGGCGGGGGATCAGCCAACACCCGCCCGGCGACGGCGCGAGGCTTGAGGTCCCGTTTGGCTGGAGCGGCAGCGGCGAGATGTCTTCACAATTGGTCCCCGGCAACAACTCCCCGCTCCGCTCACGCACACGCCCTTATATGCCTCTGCTAATTATCCGAGACCTCTCGTGCGTCTCTTTAAGCTCTCGCCAGGCTGGTGCCTGTCGGCCCATCAATCAACCCTCATCTCCCGTCTGCCTGGCAACACCTCCGGTCTCAACGTGCACAACCGGTTGACCTTGTGTGCAGCTGCTTCGCCCCTTAAAATTGGCGATTTGTCCGCGCAAACTTCACGCGCGCCTGTTTGCCCTCAGTTGCCCTCGGTCGACTGTGCGCACCGTGTATTTCACTACTCTACACCTGTTACGTTAACGCACATAAATGTGCTCATGTGAATGTGACGGGTGAATGACCGTGCGTGCACACGGACGCGAATAACGCGTTGCGCGCCCCCCACACAACGCAGGAGGCTGCGTTCCCTGTGGTCTCCGAGGTGGCGCTGCCCCTGCGCCCATCCTCCCTGCTGCTGCCGAGCCCCACGCGCAGCCCCAGCATGGTGATCCAGCAGACGATGCCTTCGCCAAATTCGCCCTCCGTTATCATCCAGGCTCCCTCTGCCCACCAGCAGCATGTTGCGTAAGAACCGTTGTCATACGAGACACACACACATGGCACGAGAGACACACACACATGGCGCGAGACACACACACATGGCGCGAGACACACACACATGGCGCGAGACACACACACATGGCGCGAGACACACACACATGGCGCGAGACACACACACATGGCGCGAGACACACACACATGGCGCGAGACACACACACATGGCGTGAGACACACACACATGGCGCGAGACACACACACATGGCGCGAGAGACACACACACATGGCGCGAGACACACACACATGGCGCGAGTCACACACACATGGCGCGAGACACACACACATGGCGCGAGACACACACACATGGCGCGAGACACACACACATGGCGCGAGACACACACACATGGCGCGAGACACACACACATGGCGCGAGACACACACACATGGCGCGAGACACACACACATGGCGCGAGACACACACACATGGCACGAGACACACACACACATGGCGCGAGACACACACACATGGCGCGAGACACACACACATGGCGCGAGACACACGCACATGGCGCGAGACACACACACATGGCGTGAGACACACACACATGGCGCGAGACACACTCACATGGCGCGAGACACACGCACATGGCGCGAGACACACACACATGGCGCGAGACACACACACACATGGCGCGAGACACACACACATGGCGTGAGACACACACACATGGCGCGAGACACACACACATGGCGCGAGACACACGCACATGGCGCGAGACACACACACATGGCGCGAGACACACACACATGGCGTGAGACACACACACATGCCGCGCGAGACACACACACATGGCGCGAGACACACGCACATGGCGCGAGACACACACACATGGCACGAGACACACACACACATGGCGCGAGTCACACACGCACATGGCGCGAGACACACACACATGGCACGAGACACACACACACATGGCGCGAGACACACACACACATGGCGCGAGACACACACACACATGGCGCGAGACACACACACATGGCGTGAGACACACACACATGGCGCGAGACACACACACACATGGCGCGAGACACACACACATGGCGTGAGACACACACACATGGCGCGAGACACACACATGGCGCGAGACACACGCACATGGCGCGAGACACACACACATAGCACGAGACACATACACATGGCGCGAGACACACACACATAGCGCGAGACACACACACATAGCACGAGACACACACACATGGCGCGAGACACACGCAGATGGCGCGAGACACACACACATGGCGCGAGACACACACACATAGCGCGAGACACACACACATAGCACGAGACACACACACATGGCGCGAGACACACGCAGATGGCGCGAGACACACACACATGGCACGAGACACACACACATGGCGCGAGACACACACACACATGGCGCGAGACACACACACATGGCGCGAGACACACACACATGGCGCGAGACACACGCACATGGCGCGAGACACACACACACATGGCGCGAGACACACACACATGGCGCGAGACACACACACATGGCGCGAGACACACACACACATGGCGCGAGACACACACACATGGCGTGAGACACACACACATGGCGCGAGACACACACACATGGCGCGAAACACACACACATGGCGCAAGACACACACACATGGCGCGAGTCACACACACATGGCGCGAGTCACACACACATGGCGCGAGACACACACACATGGCGCGAATTACGCACGGCATTCTGCGAGAGATGCATCGTGTAAGCGCCACGTCACGAGAAACCCGCGTCACATGAGACCCATGCCACACCAATCTCGCCAACACCTCTGATTAGCGCGGTTGGCTACGTATGGTATGAAATAAGTTCAACATACATACATATAAGTTGCTTTTTCACAGTTGCTAAGTACATGTCCAAGGGCCCAAAACCAGCAAATGGCCCACAAGCAAAATGTATAAGAATCTTGGCCACACTAATCAGATACTAGAAGAGAATATACTTTGCCTGGCAACACTGCGTTTATAATTTCAGCATATTCAGTCACTGAATGCGCTCATCACTGAATGCCACACTATCTTAACTCTCTTGAATCGGTGGTCTAAATTACAACATTCAGTTATTTTGATCTGACTATCCAGATAACGACAAAAGCTTTCGTCCATGCAATACTGCACACCTTTGTGTGTTTTGCAAACGTTTATTTGTTTCCAGCCTGCTTTAATTGTACTGTTGCCATGTGTTTCCTGGTCATCTTCTGATTCGACTGTCCTATTTGGCTCTCGGCGAGGAAGTTTCCCCAGAGGTTTGGGTTCATGTTCTGTGTGTCTGTGCTGCGTTCATCCGAACGTACGCGCGTCGTCCCCTGACAGGCCCATCCCGGGTTCCCTGCCCGTCATCCTGCAGCTGTCCAACGGCCAGGCGGTGTCGGTGTCTCTTCCGGCCAGCGCGGCCACCAGCCCCACGCTCCCCGTGCCCGCCGCCGCCTACCCCGAGCAGCAGCCCGTCACCATCCAGGTGCCCAACGGCACCGTCACGACACCGAGATGCAAGCGGCGCAGGCAGCAGAATGTGGCCTGGCAGCCTCTTTCTCCGTGTTTTCTATTCACTCACACACGGCTTCATTGCGGACAGACAACTCCGTTGACGTGATGAAAAAAACATATATGAGAATAGGCTTGAACCCTTTCTGGCAACAAAACGGGTGTTATGACGTTCAAACTACCAATTAGATACGAACACCACTGTCTTGATACTGGCGAAAGGTCACGTAGCTTTAACTGCTCAACGAAAGCTAATCGTAACTTGATACTGGCATTGCCTTTGCACTGTTCACCTTGTGGCGGTCTCTGGTCTGACACTGGTGAGACAAAGCCATCATCAGTTTCAAAGACAATGGCACATATAATTATCAGAGGATGTTTGTTTGTATGTTTTGCCACAAGTATGTGTGGCTAATGCAGACTTGATGCCTTGAAATAGGTTTTCTATTTGAACTTTGAACATCTTAACACCTTTTTTTATTGCCAGATATGGTAAAGCCTTATTTTATTTTTTCCCATCATTTTGGATACTGGCAAAAAGGTCTCATATATACATTTTGACTTAAATTTTACTTCAAACTTTCGTGACTGCAGGAATTAATATTCTATAGTTCTTTCGGTAAAGGCACGTAGATAGAAAAAAATAATAACAATAAAATAATGAAAATAAAGTGAATAAAAATATCACGACGTTTCGATCGCAACACAAGCGGTCGTCATCAGGAACAGGGAGGTTGGCCTCTGAGGGCAAGCTGCTTATCAAGGTTAATGTTAATGTAGGAGAGGGCTCAAACACTGGCAGTAGGTCTACACCAATCAAAGCATTGTACCTGGCTCCACACACCCACACTGCTGACGGTGGAGGTTGACAAGAAAACACAAATCAAGTCATGACCCAAAGTGGTTGATGACATCTTTTCAACGAGTGCTCAGTCTATAACCTTCCTCTCGGTAGAAATTGTCTCTGTCTGTATATATGAATGGCTTCATGAACAAATCTTTGTTGATAGCCAGGAGAAATCAATTTCGTGTGAGCCAGCCGCATTAAAATAATGATCAGCCACGGCAGAAGTATTGGTCCTATAATGTTTCAAATCTGCCTTATGTTCACGGACACGGTCCGAGACATGTTGCTTATTTTCCCCAATGTAACTGCTGTCGCAGATACAGCTTAGTTTGTAGACGCCGGGATATTGCATGTCAGGAATCTTGTCCTTCACAGATGGGATCAGATCACGAATTTTATGTACAATGTGTTAAATCGGACCTGGATCTTGTGTTTGTTCATGATTTTGGAAATCTTTTTGGTTACCCCTGCTATGTGTGGCAGGGTGATGGTTTTTATTGGATCCTCAGATGGCTCCTTCCTCACAGTTGGGGTGATGGCTTTGCAGATTGTGTGGTCAGAATATCCATTCGCCTTGAGAGCTTGGTGTACGTGTTTGAGTTCACTGGTTAGGTGTTCATGGTCGGAGATACATTGAGCTCTATGGTGTAGCGTTTTGATGAGCGAATTCTTCTGGGATGGATGGTGGTGGGAATCAGGTTTTAGCTAAGCGTCAGTATGGGTTCCTTTTTTGTAGATAGAATGGCTCATTGAGCAATCTAGTCTCTTTTTGATTAGGACATCCAAGAAAGGTAGCATGCCATCCTTTTCTACCTCCATGGTGAATTTGATGGCTGGGTGTATGGAATTGATGTGGTTGAGGAATTGGTTTAGAGCCGGTCAGCCATGTGGCCAGACGACAAACGTGTCATCTACGTACCTCTTCCACAAGGACGGACTTAGAGTGGATGCCTCGATGTCGTCCGTCTCAAATTTTTATATGAAAATATTGCCTAGAACCAGAGATAAGGGAGAACCCATTGGGGTGCCTTCCATTTGTTTGTAGAATGTTCCATTCCAAGTGAAGTATGTGTTGGTGAGGCAGTGTCTCCTCAGTGTCGGTACATCAGCATTCAATCCTTGTTGGACCAGGTCTTCAATGATTGCAATGGTATCGGGCACAGGTACTTTGGTGAACAAAGAAACTACATTAAAACTGACGAGTAAATAATCTGGGGACAGTGAGATGTCTTTAATTGATGATACCAGGTGTAGGTAGGTAGGTAGGTGAGACAATAATACACAACCCACATCCCTAACAAACACAAATACCATCAGTACAATTATAACTAAATGAACCTCATGGCGGGACCCTGGAGTTCCATAAGCCCCCGGCTCTCGGATAAACTGCGTTGCGACGTCATTTCATGTCTGTTGAAGGCGAACGATACGGCGATCTATTCCTCTCGACAAGCTCTACACGATGCGCTCATCAAAGTTTAAAAGTTTTGTTTCTTCTGCGCATACGTCATCGCTGCGCTTGGACGACACGACAACAGAATGATCCGCGCCAGGTGGGTCGCGGCGTTTATGTGCTCGGTGGGACGGAGTCAGCAAAAATAAATTAATTAATTAATAACGATTTTGACTTCCGTTTATTCGGGACCCCGGGGTCCCGCCATGAGGTCCAATTGCTGATACAAACAAAACTGCTCATAACACAGTTCATGGATAATTCCATAGTGAGCCATTTGTAACCATGCCACGCTGTGAGTCGAAAGCTGCTGATGGTCACAGTGTAAAAATGTTGGCCAATCAGCAGGTCACGTGTGATGGGGTAAAGTGTAGCCACTCGCAAGACGTCTGGCCAGCGTGAAAGAGCCGGCCAAGTACCCTACTCTCTAGGGCTCCATAGAGAGTTAGAGGCATTGCCAGTAGGTATGGCGGCATTCCCAGTAGATTCTCAGCTCCCATAGTTACCGAGCCCCAGAGGTCGCAACCGGGTACCGGATACCCGTACCTTACCCGATACCCGGCTACCCGTACCCGGCCGGGTACGGGTACCCGTTTGCGACCCTGGTGCGGCCGGGTACGGGTAGGCCGTGAGTCACTGGTGAGTAACTGTTTGTCACTCATTTCCCAACGTCTTGTCTCTTCTCACAATTCAAATTCCTAGAATCAACCCACCCGCGCCTGCAACATGGCTTCATCCCAGAGGTCGCAATCGGGTACCCGATACCCGTACCCTACCCGTACCCGTCCGGGTACGGGTACCCGTTTGCGACCCTGATGCAGCCGGGTACGGGTACGGGTAAGGAATCAAAACCCGTTTGCGACCTCTGCCGAGCCCTGCCATCCATTTGCAGCGTCACGACTCGGGGTGCCGCGTGCAATGCCGAAGGTTCCACAAAAGAGCGGTGTTCGCCGCGGTGAGCGTAGCAACGGTGCTGAAACCTCCTCGTGCGGGGCGTTTGTGCTGCAGATCCCTGCCGTGGTGTCAAACGTGCCGGGTATCCCTGGGCCTCCTCTGGGCAGCCTCGCTCCACCCTCGACCCAGGCTGCCCTCACCACCCCGCCTGGTTCTCATCAGCAGCACGGAGTCACCACGGTGCGTTGGGGGTGGGGGGAGTGTGGGGTGGGGGAGGCAGCAATGTGTGCCTCGTACTGTTCACTTCTTAGCAGAGGTCGCAACCGGGTACCCAATACCCGTACCCTACCCGATACCCGGCTACCCGTACCCGGCCGGGTACGGGTAGCCGTACCCGGCCGGGTACAGGTAGCCGTTTGCGACCCTGGTGCGGCCGGGTACGGGTACGGGTAGGCCGTGAGTCACTGGTGAGTAACCGTTTGTCACTCATTTCGAGTAGAGTACGGGTACAGATATGGAACGGGAACCCGTACCCGGCCGGGTACGGGTTCCGGGTACGGGTACGGGTAAGGAATCAAAACCCGTTTGCGACCTCTGCTTCTTAGCGATACGGAGCTCACGCGTGTTTCTCTGTGTAACACGCAGAGGCTAAAGGCCATGTTGACGGAGGTGTCGCCCCAGAACGGAGGGGTGGAGGTTCTATCGCAGGCCGTGGAGATGGTGATAGCCCAGCAGGATTCCCATCTGCCCCTGCTTAGCCTGCACATCCCACAACCACAGGTGGCGTCCAGCTCCCTCCTCTGTCATCATCCCAGTTCCTCACAAATGCATGCATGCCCCCCCCCCGCATCCCTATATGGAGACTCGTAAAGCTGTGATGAACCTCATCGAGGCTGCATTGAGTGTCATAAATCTGTATTGTTTTTCATGGAGCTGTCCGTCCCGGCTGTGTGTGTGTGTGTGTGTCCCGCAGGCCTTGTCTGAGCCCCAGCCGTCACCTCCGGTCTCCACGCCGGGCAGCAGCAGCAGTGGCTGTGGTGGAGGGAGTGGCCCAGGTGCTTTATCGTTCCACGCTGTATGGAGGGGGGGCGGGGTGCAGGAGATATTCTGTAGCTGCCAAAAATTGTATGGGTTTCAACTTATCCACAATTTCTTATATACACATACCAATCACTCTCTAACCTCTCTGGCCTCTCTATGTCCTGTGAAGGGTCATTGCCCGAAACGTCGCCTTTTATTAAGGCCACGGTGCGATTGACAAACGTGTTGATTTTTGTCTTTTTGTTATTTGTATCTCTGCACCACTGTTATCGTCAGATAATTTGTTTAATACCTGTCGATCTACAATTATACTTCTACAACCCGATTTGTATCCAGTGCTGGGATGAAGGCCTCTCCACACACCGTGTTGGTTAAGAGGGGTGATTCTTACAGCAGACACTTGACCTATGTTGAATCATACGTGTAAGAAGAATTTCTTTACAATTTATGCAAATGTATTTCGAATGTTACACTTAGGTTCATGGAACAAATGAGACAATGAAATGCAGACAGTACAACAACACAGTACAAATGTGACAACGAAGATTGTTAAATATCGACCCCAAGTCGTAACAATTGATGAAATCACTTGGTGGGGGGGGGGGAGCTGGGAGGATTCCGTGTGTCGCTTGAGTAAAGATTTTAAGGGTCATCGACACGTTAGTAGTGAGCTAATAAGTCCCTTACCCTGACCATCTTGGCGCCTCCTGCCGCGTCAGCGATGACGCGTCTCACAGCCTTGCTGCTGCCTCTGCCCTCCTTGGCTCATCCCCACCCTGCCCCCCTTGGCTCATCCCCACCCTGCCCCTCCTTCCCCCTCCCCCCTCAGGCGTGGAGCTGAGTAAAAGCACGAGCCCGGCGGCGGCCGGAGGGGGTCGCAGGCGACGCAGCGCCATCACGGACCCCGAGGAGCGGCGCAGACGCTTCCTCGAGCGCAACCGCGCCGCCGCCTCTCGCTGCCGCCAGAAGCGCAAGCTGTGGGTCATGGACCTGGAGCGGCGTGCGGAGGACCTGGCTCACACCAACGTGGAGTTGCAGGTGCCACACGAGGGACGTGGAGGACTCTACGGGCCCAGGAGCTGCCCATACCTCCCATGGCTCCCTTCTTTTTTTTCCGATAAAAAGAAACAAAACTATCCTCGGTTATTCGGCACTTTGCTTCGTTCGTTGCGTCGTTTTTTTGGCGTTACATTTTTTCCTTTTATGGCCCTTTTTTAATACAAGAAATATAACATGGTTACATATTTTCCCATGTGGCATGAATCCCATTGTGCACAGACACAACAAAAAAAAGACACCCTCAAAAATGTATTCCTAAATCTCCTCCCATCAAATTGAGTGTAGCACCCTCTGTAGCCCAACGCACCAAAAAGGATGGAACACTCCCCCTACCCCGTGAAACTGAACGTAGCGAAATTTCAGACAAATTCTGGCAGCTTCGCCCGACCCACAGCACTGTGACAGAGCACTCGACTGGTCGATGGACGGGCACACGAATGAGGAGTAGAGCGACAAGGGAGATGTAGGAGAGTGCATGGAGTGGGTGGGGGGGAAAAGTGGAGTGAGATGATAGGGGAGAGGTAGGCAGGGGTGAGTCCATGGAGGTTCTTGAAGACGGCGAACGTGATCTTGAAATTGATCTGGGATTGGACGGGAGCCACTGGGTCGACGGGGGCAAATCATCTTGTGAGGACGCGGATTCGTCGCATCACTGCTGACACGTTTCTCTGTCGCTCGGCGTTGGCAGAAGGAAGTGACGGAGCTCAGGGGCGAACTCGCCCACCTCAAGCAGCTGCTGCTCGCACACAAGGACTGTCCCGTGACGGCGTTGCAGAAAGAGGCGCAGGCCTTCTTGGGTGAGTGGACAAATCTAAGACACGATCATATTCTTGGGTTTTTTCGGTAAAGTCACGTAGGTAAAAAATTAAAATTGTCCCAGGGATCCGTCAGGTCTCCTCTCAAACAGAATATCTAAGAATGGTAGCTTACCATCTTTCTCCACTTCCATGGTGAATCTGATGGATGGGTGTCTGGAATTGATGTGGTCCAAGAAGTGGTTCAATGCTGGGAGGCCAAATGACGAAAGTGTCATCCATATACCTCTTCCACAGGGAAGGACGCAGGTTGGATGTCTGGATGGCGTCTGATTCAAACTTTTCCATAAACATGTTGGCTATCACTGGTGACAAGGGGGAGCCCATAGGGGTACCCTCATTCTGTCTAACCAGGTACCTGCGCTGGTTAGGCATTGCCTCACCAACGAGGAGTTGGTGTGGCCGGCACCACACACGCTCGCACTTATCTCCCCCCAGTGCTGATGTTCACACAGCACACCAGATACTAATTTAATGCTGAGTTAACCTAGTGGAGTATCAAGAGAGGTCTCAATACGCTATTCGTACAATGAAAGTTTTGAGACCAAGGTGTCTGGCCCATGGACTAATTTGGTCGTTTGTGATTGAACCGATTTTCGTGTTTAGTTTGTCGTCTTTCCCCCGCACCTCCGAATAGCACGATTCTCTACGCACGATGCGAAAGTAGTTCAACATACACACATTGCCATGCGCTGTGCCCCAGTCATACAAATGATGCCAGATCCTCATTTGTTTCACCACCACCACCACCATCATGACAATCGCCTTTCCTGGTGGGCAGGTGCGATCATGGAGTCCCAGGAGAGCACGGCGGCGGCTGCGGCGGCTGCGGCCTCGTCAAACAAATCGTCCGTGCCGCCGACGGAGACCGCGGAGGGGAACGACCCGGCGCCGGACAACCGCCTGTTCACGGTGGACGTCTCCGCGCTGAGCGTGCCGGGCGGCGGAGGCCAGGCCGTCTCCGGCTCTAGTTGACGGCTCGTTGAGCGGGGACCAGGCCCACGTGAGGCTGACAAGCCCCCGGGCCTGACTCAGCCCGAGTCCGAGACCCTGGCGTGGTAGCCTGGGACTCCGGGCCACGTGGGTTCGGCGGGCACTGCCAAGCAGCTGCTGGGCCGAGGTTGGAAGCACAGATTTTTAAACGGGACGAAGCAAGTCGGCGTCGACTCCGCTTCCGTCGCGATTCAGGGGAGGCTCGTGAAGTCGTATAACCGCTTTTCCATTTATGTCTGTCTGTCCTCTGGAATAGTGACCGGTCGGCAATTTAATATGGCGAGCGATGACCGCGTAATATCCTACACACCTAGCTCTCTAGTAATACACAGGGTAACCTCCTGGATGCCATTCTTTACTCTTATCTCTTTCACGTCGAATATATGAATAATAGTTGCTTGTTTTCATATGAAAGAAAGAGAATACAATTCTTCACCGATTGTTTACATGGTTTAGCATTTTTTTAAAGGCATTGTACATTTCGAAATGTATTTTATATGTAGATTATTCTATATTTAGAGCTAGAGTATTTGAAGACGAGCTGGGGTATCATGTCTGTGTGCCTGTGTAATGCACTCCCATCGTTGTGTTTGTGCACGTGATACGCACTTGTTTTTGCATTCCTAGAGTCGAGATGACTTTCGTGACGTGCGATGAGACACGCAGTAGTACTATTTTGAGGGTTTCCTCCAAGACCATGTAAATGAACTTGCAATTCCGAAAGGGACCTTGCCACCTTTGAACAGAAAAATCACTCGCATCTTGCAGTGTTAGCGTGAACGGAATGTGAACCTTGCTTTATTGTTTACTTTGATCGCAGGTGGACGTCCCCGTAGCTGCGAGCCAGGCTGCCGCTGCCCTGCTCGGCCTTGGCTCGCCGTTGCTGTCGTGCAATAACGCACCCTGAGGGGGTCTCCCAGTCACAGCGCGGCAAGGGCAGCGGTAATCGGGGGCCAAGCGCAAAGCCCAAGTGTTTCCTTTACACGTCCTTTTTTGTTAACGTTAATATTATTGTTATTACCGTCACGATTTCTCAGTTAAGCCTTATTTGCGACGAAACTTTTGCACTTTTTTGGCAACGCGTTTGCGTGTGCTTCAGCGCTGGCGCGTGCCTCATTTCAGATTTGCACTTTTAAGTTTTGGCGCGGCGGGTTTGCCGCATTTGCGTCGCTCGCTCACTCTTTGGTATCGGCCGCCCAGCCACTGCTTTTGAAGCTCTCTCCCCGCTGTGCTTGTTCATGCCCTGCAAACCACCCCGTTGCTTGGTTTTGGAAGTCATCTCGTCAAACTGCACGAGCGGGGAATTGCAGAACAGCAACCGTGATCGCAGTCGATTGGAACCACCCTACGGCACGGCGTGTTGAACAACACAGCTCAATGGTTCCGTGTTCAGAGCAATGACCACTAGATCACCTTTATTAATGACTGGGTAAGAGCATTGAGAGCTGAAGTATTTTTTTAAGGGAGACCCTGGGTTGGTTAATTGCTGTAGACCACAAGACACCTGTAGGCTTGAATCATGTATTTTACGTTACAGCAGCGATCCAAAAACGTTTCGGTCATAATGCAGTTTTGCTCTGAGCAAGTCTAATTATCCTGCATCCCGTCAGCCACATTCACTGGTTGGTGTAACTGCCAATGGAACAGCCAATGAGAATTTGAGGTGGTTGCTTTTATGCCTCGAAACGAAAAGTATTAAAATGTACTTCGCCGAAAACCCGGAGGCGGTTAAACGCGTTGCCGACGGCCTTTATGAAGAATACCATGTCTCGAGTTTTGATGGCATGCGAGTTTTAATCTTGTAACATGTACAGAGCGATAACAAAACCGTCCTCGTGCGAGGCTTGGGGTCGAGCCCTTCAGGAACACCGTTTGACTAGACTAAGCATCGCAAATGCAACACAAACTCGCATTAAAGGGCAGCAGCAGTAGCGGCACTGTGTCTTGGTTTACGGTCCATCCATTTGTTCTCATCACATCGAAGTTGAGCTGCCTTGCCAGACGCCCATGCCATTTTAAGGATCGTCTGTGCCTGAAAAGTTGCACAGTTACAAAAAGTAACCCACAGGAGGTGCGTGAAATTGATTACATGATTATTATTTTAATCAACATGAGCATACCCACGTGGGAATCCCCCCTCGGAGCGCCGTTCATGGTATTAGCAAGTAGCGTTTTGAGTGGTTTACATGTTGTCTGAAAGGTTACCTTGCACTGTGTTGTATCTTCCAGTGAAACTGGGTAGGTAGTGGCTTGCCGTTTAGATTTGTAATTGCAATGCGGACAGGTTCTTTTGTAATCGGAAAGCATCATTGCTGTTGGACTTGTGCGTGCGTGCGATGACCTTCACACACTCTTCTCTGCTGTTGCTCGCAACATTTAACATTTATTCTCTGTGGGAATCTCTCTGCCAAAAGTTGGCAATGCGTGTTTTGTCGTCCTAACCTTCGTTGTGACAAACTTATTAAATAGAGGCTTGCCCTTGCTGCAAGGGGCCACGTCCTCCTGGGTGGTTTTGGATCATTTTAGTTTTTAGCATTTCAGCATTTTGTTTTTTGCTTTTTTCTCCTCCCCCAATGTTGTCCTGACTGCGCCAACCGTCGCAAGTCGAGGAATCCAATCGGTACTTGTGCAGCGCAATGCATCACCCTCGGGTTTGAGAATGGTGGTGAGATGTTAATTGCTTCGCCTGGAATGTGGAAGGTCGTGGGTTTGATCCCAAACCTGACGCCTGTTGTATATTTGGAGTTTGCGAGTGGATTTTCTCCGGGCCCTCCGATTTTTCACCCCACATTTAGAAACAATGTGCGTTCAGAGCATTTGGCTGCTACAAATTTCGACTTGATAAGCCACTTCGTTGAGTTGTCATTTGTGGCCAGGTAGCTTTTGAAAAACAGCTGCAGAGCTAAGTGGACCTTACCTGGTAAAAACAAATAATTTTAGGAGTGAAATAGGCCACAGAATTGCTTCCGAAATCTCAAATGACCTCTTATCCGCACACACTAGGGGGCACCACCTGCCCACCCAGACATCTCCATCTGGATTAGAGCTATTCGCTACTGTAATGAGCCAAGAATCTGTGTGTCCCGCGCGTGACATCACTCCACGCCGATCAGCCCCCCTCATTAGTAATCATGAACAGGTTACGTCCTCCACATGGACCCCCCTCATTAATAATCATGAGCGGGTGACGTCATTCCGCAGGTAGAACCCCCACCCTCGTTAATTATCATGAGCAGGTGACGTCACTCCACATCAAACAGCCCCCTCGTTAATAATCATGAGCAGGTGACGTCCTCCAAATGGACACCCCCCCTCCATTAATAATAATTAGTGGGTGACGTCACTCCACATGGAGGGGGGGGGGGCGAGGCGCCTCCTCCCCCCTCCTCAACTTACAACCCTCACGACAAAGGCAGAACCCTGACGTCACGCGATCTCCGTAACGCTGTTGAGACATCAAAGTAAAAAGGAGGTCATGATGAACAAGGGATGATAACCTTAAATGAAATAGGTCTGTGTCACCGCGCCCTTACAAATTGCACACAATGGATGCGATGAATATATCACGTCGCGTTCTGCTTTTCGCTTGCAAGTTTCAGATCTACTGCAATGCACCTGTCCTTGGACGGGCAAAAGGCGAGTTTGAAATATTCGCGGCCGTAGCACCGCTCCGACCCGACAAGAAGTCGTGATGGTGTGGGAGCGGCGTGGATGTTGAGAGCGTGAAAGTTTCCCACGGGACGCTCTCCCTCTCGGTCTGCCTTTGCCTGCCGCACTATTTGCACGCAAGCACTTTCCCTTACAATATAGTTGTGATAATGCATTGTATAATCTTTTTTTATTTGCACTTTTAAATGCGTTTCTGTTCATCATTATTAAAGGCAATAGTTAAATAACACATTAATACTATAACAATATACGTATTGATTAATGTATCTGTGAATGTTTTTTAAACGTAATAGATGTGTTTATGACCCTAACCCGATTTTACTCAAACTTTAATTATAATTATTAATAGTCGCAGGTTTTATATTCGCTACATTCACCGGGAAAGTGTATCCCCTGCTAATATTAAGGGTTACTGTACAGTCAAACAGGTATTTATAGTTCTCAAATCAATGTTTTTATTTGTCAAGAGCTGGAATTTATCCAAATTCAGCAATTTTTTTTTATAATGAAGTGAAAATCAAATTTCACTTTTTTACCAATCATTGATGGCCGAGCTACATTTGAGTAGCTGCTTTCATCACGGGTGGCTTACCTGGATTCGAAAGTGGGCAATGTATGCTCGAATTTTTACAATCTCATTCACGAAAAACATGACAATGAAGTTACCAAACCTCAGCATTGAGAAAGTAGTGAGAAAAATTGTTTTAATTCCACCGTTTTCTATTGTCATAAATTACATTCGGATAGCAACGATGGCATCAAGGCGTGAAGCAAAAACACCTTGAAATATTCTTGGATCTTTCGGTAAAGCCAGGTAAAAAAAAAATAACAAAAAAATTACAAAAAACTACGACGTTCGATCGCAACACAAGCGTTCTTTTTTTTCTTCCTGATCACGACCGCTTGTGTTGCGATCGAAACGCCGTAGTTTTTTGTTATTTTCTTTGAACCTACCTACGTGACTTTACCGAAAGACCCAACAATATGAATTCCTGCAGTCACGAAAGCTTTAAGTCGAGATTTTACCTTGATGAAACACTCACTTTGTATCTCTCATTTGATACTCGGCAAGGATGATTCTAAATCTTTATAGATCAAAGTGCTACGGCCACATTGTGACGAGTCTGAGATCATCTCCTGAAACTGAGAGCCGGTGTAATCAATCCATGGGCCCTAATCGGGGCCTAGCGGCGGTACTGGTCCGTCGTTAGGAACCCCTCAACCACCTCATCGTAACGATTCGTGTTCATTTTGAACAGAGATAAAAGTCGAGCAAGATTCAATTTACAAACAAAAATGAAGCCGCAGACGAAGCCGCCCCTCCTCCTCCGAGCACGGTGTGACGGCCCCCTTCTCCCGCTCGCTCGGCCCGCCTCGCCGCTCCTCGTGTTCCTTCCTCTATGCTGGTGTCCCTTTCACGCTCCTGCCCCTCACCCCAGTTGCTATTCTTTCTGACCTCCACTGCTCGTGACGTTTCCTTACTGCTGGTCTCCCTGTCTCTCACTCTACTACGACTACTACTCTCAACTTGTCCTCTCTTACTCTTCTCTCTCTCTCTACTCCCCTCTCTTATTCAGATCAGGATTTATTCACACTGGAGGAAGCCGACTATGAAGCTTTTTCACAGATGTCCAGTAGGGGCACGGGGCTCAGAACGTTACAACAACTCGAAGT